GATTCGAATCTAAATGTGCACATCTGTCTTTGTTGGAAACACAGCTGCCCACTTGCATGGAGGGTGGGGCTGCTTCTCTTTTTTGTGTCAAGGAGGCCTGCTTTGGGAAATGTGATGGAGGCTGCTGTGCCTGACTCTCTCCTACCTGCCCTCTCAGCTGAAGAGGCTGAGAGGACAGACAGGTGGACAGATAGGGACTCTGCTTGTCACCCCACGACAGCTCACACTTGCCCAGTGCTCACCTTAGGGAAAACTCAGGACATTTTCAGAAGAAGTAATTTGTTTACGGAAGCCAGAGGCCTTCTGGGAAGGAAGGAATCAAGACCTCAACTCTTGCAACTCTTTGGATGGGCCAGGGGCTGAGGGACAGGCGTAAGAGCAGGGGAGAGAGATGAGGGAGTCCAGTCTCATGCTGAACTGGACCTTATAGCTCTTGACCTTGCTGTTGTTATCCTCCTTAGTGCTTTTAGCTGTGGTTAACCGACATAGGCCTGCAAGTGTTCTGCCTGCAAAATACCATGCTAAGTCCTTTGTGCAGGTTATTTCACTTAATTCTCCAAATTTCTAGCAGAAAACTGAGACTAGGAGCAGCTAAGTTTCCTGCCTCACATCACTCAGCAGTTATATGGCACCAACAGGCATGTGGACCCCTGAAGCTCAGCTCGCAACACCCTCAACCCTGAGGGGCTACCTCCCTCACATTACATTTTCACCTTCTTCTTGACTAGACTCTCATCTGTTTTCTTTCTGTATTGATTCCGTGTGAAAGCATGACTCATTTAGGAGTAGCTCATTTTACTGTGACCACGAGCCAAGGATCCACAGGCCGAGGCAGTATGGCATGAAGCTTGGGTGTACTGACCTGGTCTCCGACAGCCAGGTCTGGGTGATTCCATGACCCTGAGCATCTTTTTTCATCATCTGCTTTTTTTTTTTTTTTTTGACAGTGCTAGGGATGGAACCCAGGGCCTCATGCGTGCTACCCAAGTTGTCTACCACTGAGCTACAAACCCAGCCCCATGGCTGCCGATTTTCTTAATCCTTATAACCTAAACTGTTGGGTAGGCTGTTTTGTTATCTTATTTTACCAAATAGGAATTTGATGCTCAGAGAGGTTAAGGGAACTATCAGAGTCATACAGTCTGAAAAATTCAAGAAGAGATATGAACATTGAGAGTCTACCTCCTGCCCATACCTTTCAACAACGTTGAAGCTCAGATCAAGATCCTGATCATTAGAGCCAGCGGATCACCATGGTGGGATGAGGAGCAGGATGGAGAAACTTGGTGTCTCCTCCCACTGGCCTCTGGGGGACCTGTCAATTCTTGCCCAGAAAGAAAAAGAAGCTACCCCCTAAAGGAGCCACGGAGGTTAAACTGTCCTGACAAAAGACCCAGTTTGCCGAGGGAGTTTTGTCTTCCCAGGTAATGGAATTGTTTTTAATGGCAAGAATGATCTCATTACAGATGCAGCTTGTGCTAATAATGATAATTTGCTGAGCATTAAAATCACCTCTCTGCATCTCCCCCGGCAGACAGTTGATGCTCTAGAAATTATAGGCTAGGGAGAAACAGAAAGGAGAAAGTCTAAGGGAAAAAATTGCAATGGAGAGCTACTTCAACAAAAGGACTCTCAGTTCTGCACACTGAACTTGGAGATCTGAATCGCGAACTTGTGGAAGGGAGACGTGCAGAATTTTTGAATTGCCTTTATTCACTTTTGCTACCTCTGTCACTGGGTGGTTTGGGGTTCTGTTTTGGTTTTATAGCTAAAGCCATTTTTTAAAAGTTGTGTCAAATGAATTCGTCACTTAAATATTGGTATGTAATATGATCCATGGATGAGAAAACTTGGGACAGTTTAAGAGCCACATCAGCCCTGCCACCTCCTTACTTTCCTTGAAAATACTGCAACAGACTTGACCCCCAAGTGGCCATCTACAAACTGGGTTTGGGAAAAGGGGACAGACAGACATGCCTCCCATGTGGCTCATTTCTGAGGTGGGCAGAGATGCCTGCATAGGAAGGGATCTGTCTCCTGGTGTCCTCTCTGGGGCTTTGAGGTCCCTCCTTCAGGGTTTAGGAAAACTGGGAAAAATCTCAACTATTCACATAGATTTGCCCCTGCCCTTTGAAGAAAGTGCTAGCTGTCTTCTATTGAAATGTGATTTTTAAAATTTAATTTCCAAAGTATTTAAGTATCTTTTTCAACAGTTCAAATAAGGATTTTAAAGATGATATTATTTCTTAGTTATGAATGCAATATCTGGAGGCTGTGGAAAATCAGAGAAAACACAAAGAAGAAAATAAAAGCAAACAGTAGCACCATCTACTAAATGACCATTGTGAATATTATGGGTTAGCTCCCCGCTTTATTAAATAAAAGACATGGTGTGTGTGTGTGTGTGTGTGTGTGTGTGTGTGTGTGACGTAGGTTCACAGTTACTGCACATCTTAGGACCTTCCTTTTTCAAGAGCTGGATTGTATATTTCCACAACAGTATTTTCCCTTCACATCATCCTTGACATAGTAGCTCCTACTGCATCCCAAGCCCACAGGGATGGGGGGGGGGGTGGTTATGTTTTGTGAGTCCATTACTGTTTACAACACCCTTAGGCACTTCTTTGTTCAAGACTGTTCAGTTCTGAGACCCTGTGGCCATCTGATGAACCTGTGGACCTGAAATATGTAAGATTACAAAGGAAATATCACCAAAATATTCAAGAGAGCAAATCTGGGTGAAATAGCCACATGTCTTTTTTTTAATTTTTAATTTGTTTTAATTAGTTATAATTGACAGTAGAATGCATTTATGCACTTTGATACATCATACATAGATGGGCTATAATCCCTCATTTTTCTAAGTGTACATGTTGCAGAATCACTATATATTAATAATGTTATATATATACATAAAGTAATAATGTCTGTTTCATTCTACTATTCTTTTCTCCACATCCCCTCCCCTCCCCTCCTTTCACTTCCCTCTACCTAAACTAAGGTAACCCTATTCTTCTCTAGTGCCCTCCTATTGTGAATTACCATCCACATATTAGAGAAAACATTGGGCCTCTGGGGTTTTTTTGGCTTATTTCACTTAACATGATATTTTCCAACTCCATCCATTTACCAGCAAATGCCTTAATTTCATTCTTCTTTAAAGTTGAGTAATATTCCACTGAATATATATGCCACATTTTCTTTATCCATTCGTCTATTGAAGGACTCCGAGGTTGGTTCCATAGTTTAACTATTTCGAATTGAGCTGTTATAAACATTGATGTGGCTGAGTCACTGAGTATGTTGATTTTAAGTCCTTTGGGTATAAACCGCTGAGTGGGATAGTTGGGTCAAATGGTGGTTCCATACTACTTTCCCTAATGGTCATACCAATTTGCAGTCCCATCAGCAATGTATGAATGTACGTTTTCCCCCACATCTTCACCAACATTTATTGTTGCCTGCATTCTTGATGACTGCCATTCTGACTGGAGTGAGATGAAATCTTAGTGTCGTTTTGATTTTCTTCACTGCATGTTAACATGAGAGTAGATTCTGAGGCTCTAGTAACTAATCGTGGAGCAAGGGGAGCATTAGCATGATTTCTAGCTGTTTACCACACCTTTGTATGGTACCAAAGGTCCACCATTTCTATGGGGCTGAGGTGACAGAGTACCTGGCTGTGGTGTGTCCTTTACCTTCACAAATGAAGGAAACACTTGGAGGTCTGTAAAACGAAGAGAGAACTTTTTCTTATCAAAATTTTTCCATCCTCTTGACCTCTATTCATGGAAGCTCAGAGCCCAGGGAGCCCTGGCAAAAACTCTTGCCTTGGGGAGCAGTTCCAGGAGCAGCTTGCTTGCTGCATCTCCGGCTCTGAGCATTTTTAAAATATTTATTTTAAGATGTCAATGACCTTTATTTATTTATTTATATGCAGTGCTGAGAATCAAACCCAGTGCCTCACACATGCTAGGCGAGTGCACCACCACGGAGCACAACCCCAGCCCCATTTTTTAGCTTTTTGATGCTGATGGCCTCCTTAGACCCACAGCTGCTTCAGATTTCAGGGAACTGAAGGCTGCCAAGTGGAGTCAGGGAGAGACCTGTCAGTGACAGGCAGCAGTGACCAGTGCTATGGGTTGAACTCTGTTCCTCAAAAGAAGGAAGTCTTCTTGAAGTCTTGGTCCCAGTACCTCGGAATGTGACTGGTTTACAAATAAAGTCATTGCAGGTGAAATTAGTTTAGGTGAAGACAGACTGGAGAAGGGATCTCCTAATCCCATGTGACCTTCTAAGAAGTGGCCACATGACAACACAGACACACCCAAAGAGAACACCCTGTACGGGAGGGCTGAGATGGGAGTCACATGGCATGCGCTGCTACCACCCCCCAGAGGAGGAAGAGGCAAGGACCGACTTCCCTTCCGGTGTCAGAGGGAGAGGGGGCCCTGCTAACAGTCTGGATTTGGAAATTCTGGCCTCCACAACTGTGAGGCAATAAAGCTACCAGTTGGCTCTACTTTTCTTAGGACAGTCCTGGAAAACTGATGTAGCTGTATCTGCCAGTTGGGGCCTCAAGGGGACTAGGATTCTAAGAAAGCAGGGTTGGCTGCAGGCCAGAGTTGGGGATATACCACACCAGGACCCAGCATGGCTGACGTGGTAACAGCGCTGGACTGAGGCTTCAAAGTAGAGCCTGGCCCAGCTACACGAGGTTCCCTCAGGGTTTAGGAAGAGAAGGCCCCACCCTGGCCATTCTCAAGGTCAATGCAACCTGAGAAAAACCCACAAAGACCTTTAGCACACTGAGCAGTCTCCTCTTTATTCCCACACAACAACAAGGTTCGTGATTGCTGACAGCCACGCTGCAGCTCAGGGTGCAGGCCCAGGGAACTGTGCTCTTACACTGTCCTATTGCCCACTAGGTGTGGATGAGGCACCGGCCTGTGCAACACTGGCAGGCTTCTGCCACTCCCCTCGGCTCCACCTGTCCCTGGAGGTCTAAGCCACATGCTTCTAGACCTCTGCATTCTTTGGTAAGGGCCGTGGCCCTAGGTAAATCTTCGTGTTGCATGGAGTACTTAGCCTCTGAGGCGAGTCACATGTCACAGGAGCTCTGGGGTCTTGGCTCCAGGGTTTTCCAAAGGTAGGGCAGCTTCTACCTGGAAGAGAAACCCTCCACAGGAGCGGCAGGCAGGCAGCCAGCTCCGCAGACGAACACACCAGTGCCTTCTAGAACACGGTAGGAAGGAAAGAAAGCACCCTCGCTCACCTGCGATGGAGAAGTCTGGGTTTGGGGGTGTCAGCTCTTCGTGCTGCAAAACTTTTGGAGAAGGAGCATCAGTTTGTGTGGGGCTAATTCCACACAGTCTAAAGTAAGAACAAAAGTCACAAAGTTACTCCTTTTAACAATAAAAATAAGAATAACACACACAGGTCCTGGGGGGAGTCGTGTGTTCATTTCTAATCCTTACAATTTATCCTAACGGTTAGGATTGTTGTCCCCTTTCCAAAAGAGAAAACTGAGGCCACAGGAGCCACCATATGCAGTGCCCATGGCGTCACCTCCATCTCCCTCCCTCCATCAGCACCTGGAGTCTCTTAGGTCACTGCTGGACAGTTGGCCGCTGGGAAGAGCTGAGCTCAGGTGGGAGTGTGGCTGCCTACCAAGAAGGCCCTATAGACCAACAAGACAACTTCTACACACCCCCCCAGACCCACGGTGGTCCTAGTGCAGGGGGCGCTCTTGTCTCTGGGTCTTGCAGCCAGTGGTTTGACCCCCCTACACACTTACTCCTCGTATGATTTCAGACGTGCTCTCTTGGCCCGCTCCACAATGTCCTTGAAGTCCTTGTAGCAGTTTCTGGCCATGACAGTGTACCTCGTGGCACAACCTAGTTCAGTGACCTTGGCTCTGGGGAGGTAGCCTGCCCAGCCAGGGATCGGGGGCTCATGGAGAGGTTTCTTCATGTTCTTGCATTCTGTAGAGAGACAGTATTCTTCCTGAAGGCTCAGGGGAGTTCTGCAGAGGGCAGTGTTCTCAAGCCAGCTGGCACCCCAACAGTTAGCCCAGGGGAACTCTTGGGCCAGGTATTGTGGGAGGGGCTTTACAAATAGTTTCTCGTTTAATTCTCCCCCAAACCATCCAGGTTAGCACCACTGTTACCTCCAGCATAGGAAGGAGGAGACGGAGGCCTGCAACGAGGTTCAGAGAGACCTGGCCAGAGTCACATAGTCAGGAGGCGTAGGGCAGGACTCAAAGCTGGCTCTGTGTTCAAAGTCCTGGCTCTGAGACAGATCTGCTTCCTTCTCAGATTGACGGGGAAGCTTCAGGCACCCCCGTGTGATGCTTTAAATAAGGCAGGGAATTGACAGCAGCACCAGCTTAGGAGGCTGCTTTCAGACTTTACCAAGAACCTGCTTCAGATCCTGCCTGTGATCCTAGCTTGCTGGGTGACCTTGGGTAAATTTACCATCCCCATAGTCTCCAATGAGGCCCCTGAATTGGAGGACATCCCAGGGAGCATCTAGTCGATCCTTCCCTATTTTAAAAGAAGATATTGAAGCCCAGAGAAGGGAAGTAAGTTGTCTCGGGTCACACAGCAAGTAGCCACAGAGGTGGGCTAAATCCCAAACTTAGGCAGAGATTTTTGGTAAGGTTTGGAAGATTTTTAAAGCACAGCAAACGTGTAAATTATCATTTGTTCATTTGTTCTTGAAAAATTTTTGAACAATTATAGCAAAAAGAATAAAAGCAATCAGTTCCTTGCTTTTACTATAGGCTTTTAGGCCTTAAAATAATCTAGGTCAAATCGTTGCTGCGATTCCTGTCATATGATCCCATCACAGTGGTCTCCATTGTTGATGTTGGGTGAGAAACCCCTTCCTCCTGAACTGGCACCCGGAGGAGAAGGAATCAGACCCAGGGCTGACCTCAGCACCCCTGCTATGACCTCAGCCAGTGACCCCAGCCCTGGAAGCCTCCCTTCTCCTGTCTCTTAGATGGGAATGACAGTCGTGACCTCACAAAGTCCTGCGGTTGGGGACCACTGTTCCCAGGACAGAGAAACAACCAGAAGTGTGTTGTGACTGGCCCAGGGCCTCTTAGTGCTCAGGCCAGCACCCTCTGGCCTGACCAGGACTGTGTCCCTCTCCCAGGAAGGGTGTTCTCCCTCGTGTGAAGAGACTGAGCCTGTCTGTTGGAGCCCTGGGGACTTGGGGCTGTGCTGGGTACTGTGCTCTCTGTGGCCTCTGGGATGTGTGCTTGGGGCTAGTCGGAGGGGCAGCTGGTTTGGGGGGCCCATACCCAGACTCAAGGGGTGGTACTTCCGAGTGTACTCGTGCAGAGCCCGCAGGACCGTGTCCTCGGAGCAGACGGGCTTCAGTTTGGGGGCAGCGTCCACTGAACGGTGAAGCGCCTCCTGCCGGTCTATGTATCGCTGCCTTTGCTCCTGGAAGTCTTCCAGGCAGTGGTCCATGTGGTCCTCGCCGGAGGTCCCCTGGCAGCTGAGGTAGGGCACAAAACCTGCAAGAGCCAGGCAAAGGGCAGCCTTGAGCCAGGCCAGCCGGCGGGGATTGCAGAACCTGCCAGGTCGCCCCAGCTCAGCCCACCGCTGGGCAGGTCCCCGCCTACAGCGCTGCGTTTTTCCAAAGGCCATTAATACAAGCAGTGCTCTTGTTTCCACTGAGACGGGCCCTCCCAAGGCCACCCAAAATGACCTTGGAGCTGGGAAGTGAAGGCCCAGTTCAACAAAGGCGATGACAGTCATATTCTTTTATAGCAAAGCCCCTGACGTCAGCCAGAAAGCAAATGCGGAAAGCATTTAATGGTCCAAAATGATAGTCTGAGGAGTAATTGAAATTATTCCTCTTTTTAGAGAGAAAGCTTATTTCCTTGACACTTCCCAAATGCAATTTGGGATCTTTCATGCTGGACCGTAGGGAAATTGCAGGCTTATTAAAAGCATAGACCTATTATACAAAAAGGTAAACTCATTATCTGCAAGACCCACCCCAAGAACAATTTTTCACCGTTGCCCACAAAACAACATATAATCATTACAATGAGTATGGGTAAAACACAAGTATTTATTTAAACTGGATGCTGAATCCCAAGTATTATAATATTGTCACAATAAAACCATTTTTAAAGAGAACAAATGAGAAAAACTGGTTAAGAACTTGGTTTTAAACCACAAAGTAAATAAATAAATATCTCTCAGTATTGGAGCCCAATGTTTTTGCCTTTGTCCCTAGGGAAAGAAATCCTGGCATTGGGGTTGAAAGCAGCCCCTTCCCAACCCTTTCCCCCTACTACAAACCACCTCCAGAAGAATCTCATTAATTGACCTTGATAATGAGAAACTCCTTCACCCACCAACCCTGGGGCAATGAAAAGTACTCCAAGGTCACAGGGAAGATCACAGAAGTCCAGGAGCCTAGCCTTGGTGGCTTGCCTACCTCAGGGACTACCTTGGATCTGCATAGATTTTACGTGTGTTCACATGCATATGCACACCACCACACCACACACACACACACACACACACACACACAGAGGAATATAAGCTATTTTTATTGAGTCTAGCTAAGAACTCAGGTATTTAAAAGAGCAAATGTCATGACAACAATCATAGGGTGGTCTCTGCAGTGGTGTGCACTGGACCCCCAAATAGACACATCCAAGTCCTAACCCCTGTGAGCCTCACCTTCCTGGGACATAGGGTCTTTGCAGATGCAATTAGGGATCCAGAAATGAGATCATCATAGATTTAGGATGGACTGTGAATCCAGTGACTGGCATCTTATAAGTGAAAGGAGAGGATACAGGAGACACTAACTTAGAGGCAGAGGAAAGGCCACATGAAGAGTCCCTTGAAAATGGAGGCAGAGATCGGAGAGATGCTGCCACAAGCCAGGGGACATCTGTGGCCACCGGAAGCTGGAAGGGGCAAAGGAAGGACCTGCCCCCTAGAGAGAGACATGGCCCTGCCCAAAACACCTTGATTTCAAATTTCTAGCCCGTAGGACCAGGAGAGAATAAGCTGCTGTTGTTTTAAACCATCCAGTTTATGGTAATTTGTTGAAGAAGCCCTAAGAAATGAAGACATCTATTTTACATGAATTTTTTCTTGCTTGGAAGCTAAGTTATTACAGTCACATGGATGGTGTCAAGCAGAGACTTGAACCATCTCTCAGTTTGTCAGCCCCAAAGGCTGGGCAACTGTGGACTGAATGTTCCCTAAGCACCCCTTCCTCCTGAGAACAGCTATGTGTAAAGGCTGAGGGCCCTTGGGGACCACTGGGATCCTCACCCATGGGGATGTGACAGATTAAGTTCTCAGGAGCCCAGGAGCCTGAGGAGTAAAAGCCTTTGGGAAGGGTGACCAACTGTCCTAGTTTTCCAAGGACTAAGGGGTTCCTGGACACAGGACTAGCACTACCATGATTCCAAGAAAATCAGGGCAGTTGACTGCTTCCATTTGGGGGACATAGGGAGACATGGAAGGATGAAAGCCCTTGTGGGAGACTAGAAAGACCAGCTTGGGGAAGGTCAGGGCCCCCACTAAGGTGTTGTGTCTGTCCTCACAGCATTGTGTCCATCCTGCTCTAAATTTGTTCAATGGACATGAAGTGCTTCCCATATGGGTCATGTCCCACAGGGTGTAGCCTAAGTTCTTTCTCTCCATCCATCAGAGCCATCTGTCAGCCATCTGCAGCCCTGGGCACTCTCAGTGGGTCTTACAGCCTGGAGCCAGTCTGCCTGAGAGGCACGGACAGGGGGCCGAGGCAAGAACAAGGACCAGTGCCACAGTTCCCCTGAGTGCTGTCACTTACCACTGTAGCCTGGTGTGACCGGAGGACGTCTAATGAAGGTCTTGGAAGTCTCCATGATTTCGCTGTCTGTTCATGAAGGGAAGAAGGAATAAATTGGTCATCCTTAAGTCTCTGCCTCAAGTACCTACTGTGCCTGTGCCAGATCCCTTGGGAGCAAAGAATGGCTTTGCCAGGGGCTGGGACGCAGAGGCGGCACCGCCATCTTACTCCAAGCTGGCAGACAGAGCTGGCTTCAGTTACCAACAACGACCTGGTTCCAAGGGGCATCGCTTTTCATGCTACCTTTAGATAACACTGCAAATCACAAGTGTCTCCCTTCCCAAGGAGGCCCCTCCCTCCCCCCGCCCTGTCCGCCCAACAGTCATGAATGATGCACACACTGTGGTCATGAAACGTGACAGAGGTTGGGAATGTAAAGACGAACAGGACTCAGGAGCCCTCACATAGGGCTCATGAACCTCGGGGGAGGAAGGAGACGAGGCACCCACCCTCCAGAGCTAGTTCTTTATGGAGATGGAATGTGGGTGCAGTGGTAATGTCTGCCACCACCCCCCTTCAGCTCCACACCATTGGGCAATGTCTGGAGACATTTTTTTGTTGCCACAGCTTGGGAGATGGGACACTCCTCATATCTAGTGGCCAGGACGCTGCCAAACATCCTTCAAGAAACAAGAAAGCTCCCTGAAACAATCGCCCGTCAATTATGGCTCATAGAGATCAGAAAGTCCCAAAAGGCTGGCATGGAGTCGAAGGGGAATACAGGGTGGCGGGGGGTTTGTGGCAGTACCAGTTTATGTGCCTGTTGTCTGTGAATCAAGATTTCTTCCCCCCTCCAGGTAGCCAGTGGTTTCCCCCAAAGGCCCAAGGTCTGCATCTCGACGCTGTGGATGCTGCCATGCCCTATTCTGCCCACAGGTTCATCTCTACAGCAATGCCCTTGAGGTCAGGAGAAGGGGCTTTCAGGTGGACGGGGGCCATGGTCCTGGGTTCCTCAGCGGTGATGGGAGAGGCAGTAGCGACCCAGCCCCATCAGGTTGACAGCAGTGAAGACTGAGCTGACCCAATCACGGCAGTCTATGCCTGGGAGGAGAGACTGGCCGTGAAGAGATGCCCAGTGCACACTGTCCACCTGCTACCAAAATTTTTCTCCAAGCTTTACATGTGCTGACTCACCAAATCCTCTCCTCAGCCTGTGACACTCATGTGGCCCTCCTATTCTACCCATTTCCAAACGAGGATGGAAAAGGCACGCCCATTTCTAGAACACTGGCTCTGCAGACAAGGTGGAAGGGAGCCGCATTCTTGTTGAATCCCTGCAGTGTCCCTCAGGGTAACACCTATTGGGGTTCCCATGTGAAAGACGATTTTCAAAAGGCACAGAGAGATCAAGTAACATGTCCGAGGACCCTGGAGTGAAAGCAGACATGAAGGATGAACTCCAAACTCTCAGGGGCAAGACGTGTCCTCCAAAAGTGTTGTGCTTGGATAGGGCCCAGCGTCCAGCCTGCCTGGAGGAGGTGGGCAGTGAGGAGCTTGGAGAGGAGGGGCCCTGAATGAGGGGCAGAGGAGGGGGCTGGAAATGGATGACACCGACACCAACCCTTCCCTGCCACCTCCTTCCCACCCCAACCCCTGCTCTCACCTGGGCGGACTTGGACCTGGGCCATGCACTGGGCCAGGCCTGGGTTGTCCTGGGCCTTGGGCCATCCAGGCCTCTGCCTCATTCTCCAGGCCTCCGGTCCCATCTCCTGGGCTCCCACTGAGGACTCCTGGCCTCCACCAGCCTCTGATCTCCAAGCCTCCCACAGCCTTTGTGAGCTCACACCTGGGCGGGGCAGGGGGTGGAGCCTCAGGCCCCAGAGCCTGCCCCTCCCCCCTCCCCTGGGGATCCACCTCCTCATCCCCCAGCACCAGAGATGAGGTGGGCCCAGTGGACCCATTTAGTCCAGCCTTGAGTATGAAACAGACCTTCACCCAAAAATACCTGCCCTTGGAGCCCTGCACAGAGCCTGGTCCCCCACGGGAGGGTACCGCTCGGGGGTCAGAGCCGCCATTCTGCTGGTGTAGAGACAGTGGGAAGTGGGCAGAGGAACGGGCCCCCTTCACTTGTGGGTAAGGGCCAGTCGTGGCTGTGTGAGGAACCTGTGGGCAGGAGGAAGCCTGAGGAGGAGGCGAGGCCTTGTGACCCCAGTGGCCCAGTAACAGGTGCCTGGCTGGGCTCAGCCCAGCCCTTGCCCACTTCTGTCTCTAGGAGGGGCTGGACTTTTCAGCCGCCCGGTACAAGCAAAGCAGCAATTTACCAAAATGAAGGCATGCCTGGGAAGTCGAGTCACCCCTTTCTAGCCGCAATTTATGGGAGTGAAGAGAGATGGAACCTTCATCTCATTGGATTGAAATCCACCAAGATGCTGCCCAATGACCCAGACAGGGAAAGGATGGCCAAAGCCCCGCTGCCTAGTGGCACTACTGCTCTCCCAGTACCTGTCTAAGGTTCCGGACACCTCCCAGCCTTCTCCACCTCTTTCTCCTGGAAAGCGAACTTCAGGTGGAGGCAGGTGGAGCCAACCACCAATTTTAACCTTCTTGTGATCCTAGGACCCCCCACCTCTGGCCATCTAGAATCTTCTAGAGGCAACTCAGAGAGTGATCCAGGTGTGGATTCTGGAAGCATCCCAAGGCTCTAATTAAAGCCAGTTTCACCTGCTAGGGTGCCAGTGAGCACAGCACTGTCCCAGGCCTTCTGTGTTCTTTAGTGACTTTCATTTGGGTGCAGTGAAGTTGCCCATGGCCACTCTGCATACGGACCTACTCTCTGGCTAGACTACTTTCTTCCTGTTTGGAAGAAAACAGGGTTCTGTGGACATGAATGGAACCTTGGTTCCCAGGAAAGGAAGGGCCAGTCATGTTGGAATGACTGTTAATAAAGCTTATTGCCATCTAGGAAAGACCTGGAAATCATCCTGGAGATGGGGTGGAGAGGGCAACAGTAATGACCCATCTAGAATTCCACATACAAAACCAAAGTGGGGGAAAAAAAAATCCTGGGCCATATGAGATCCAGAGTTTTACTTTATTAGACATCAGTGAAGATAAGAGAGTTTGCAGACACAGTCCTGTCCAGTTGTGAACTGCTGCGAAATTCTGTGAAGTTTGGATCTATCTTGTAGTGAACAAGACCCTGAATGGCTGAGACAGCAGAACAGTGTTCCGTAATTCAAGCAGATGAGAGGTGTTAGTGACAGGATGGCCAACAACTTTTATACTAGTCATCCACTTAAGTCATTTCCCAGCATCCATAGGCAGCTTACTCACGGCGATTACATCTCTACAATGTGAAGTTTGATCTTGGACTATTAATGCATTTGACTCCTGTTTATATTGGTGCATGCGATTCTTTGCTACCCTGGCAATTAACCAGACCTGGACTCTAAAAGCTAAACTTGGTCTAAATAACATTCTAAGGGTGGGGCAGGCTCTGTAATCTGGACTCAGCCAACACTCTACAAATACACCCTTGTGATTCCTCCTCTTTCATATCATGTCTGTAAGTTGTCTGTCATTCATTAATGCCTGCTGCATGCAGAAAAGGCAGTGACAAGGGACATCAACAACTCTGCTTCCAAGAAAGGTGACTATCAAATAATATGCCAGGAGCAACTGAGTAATGGGTCAGGACCACAGGCCTTCTAGAAATCTTCTAAGATTAGGAAATGTGTCCAAGTGTACTTATCCAGTGCTGTTACTCTAAAATATTTCAATAGGGGGAAGGGATGGATTTGGGAGTCTTGTCTAAGGAGTTGGATTACTAGGGCTGCATCTCTGGGGCCAGAAGAAAGTCCAGCAAAATTGTCACCCCTTCTCTATCATCAATTTGCCAACACCGTAGATTTCTATCAGTTCATTGAAGAGAACTGGTAGACAAGGAGACATCCTTAATTCAAGGCAGGAAGAGCTTTGCGTTAGCAGCAAACAAGGGACTTGCCTCATCCTTACCCAATAGAAAAGCTTGGTTTATGTACCACTTGGTTCCTGCCTTTGACCCTGGTGTACTAAAAACATCCACACATGGACCACACTTTGTCCTCAGAGTCACTACTTTGCCCCACAAGTACAGGTTGACAACCCAACAGAATGCAAAGAGTTTTCATAGGTTTTTCTGCACAGTCATATTTGGTTACCAAACCAGAATGTTCAGCTCTCAAAGTCTGGACAGGAGAATTGATACATTATGCTCCTTTAAATATAGCTCCTGAATCTTTGGAAAGAATGTGCATGTGGAAGTTGGCGAAAACTGAAGAAGCTGTTGATCCAAGTGGTCCGGGTGTTCAGAGTATTAGCTGACCCTAGGGCACCTCTGCCTAATGCTCAGTCTTGCACACATAATCCATCACTTGGTATCGGCGCAAATCAGTGGTTAGTGAGAGCAATTAAGAAATGAAAATATGAAATATTAAGGGCAGTGATATCAACAAAAATCAAAGAACATTTTCCTTTTTTAAAATAAGAAAAACATTGTAGAAACAAAGATACTGTACAAGATTTCAACACTGTATGTACATAAAATTATATTACTCATAACTAAATGGAAAAGTCTTATTTGCAGACTGTGGCTGGTAACACCAAAGAGGGACACACAACATTAAGCTTTTGAAGCACAGCAGGCAGCAGGAGACCCCGAGAAACACACCTTGGTGCCGGGCTATGAAATCCCACGACTCAAGTTATGGAACTGGCCTTCTCCAGTTCTGTGGCTTATTCATGTTTCACTTTCTAGCAGGGAAATCTGCAGCAGGCGAAGTGAAAAAGAAGATGGGCTAAAAAGAAACCCGAAGTGCTGCTGCTCACAATCTGCATATTGGCCATGGTGATGGTTTGTGAATCCAACTTGCATTCAAAGCGCATTCCCTCGTTCTCCGTTCGCTATGCATGCCTCCAGTGACTTGAAATCGGAATGACTTCCAGCAGGTGGAAAAGACTGCTTTGAACAGATCAGAAGGACTGTGATTCAGATCCTTGAGTCTCTGTCCTCAGTTGGCTCCTGAATGTTGGCGAAAACTGACTTTGGGTGGTGGGGGAAGGAAAAATGCAGACCCACTGGCTGCCTTTCATGACATCTTTTCCCTGCCGGACCACCTTGTGGGAATTTAAAGGGCCATCCTAGGTGACAGAGCCCCAACCCCACTTACCAAGAGGACAAGGCATGGGGTCCGCCCTCTTCCCTAAGAGAACTCCGAAGGGAAGAACAGAGGGCTCAGGCTGTGGCCTGTGCTTCAGCCTTGACAAACTAAAGTTAGGAATTCTCAAATTCCAGCTGAACCCCAATCACTTCTGGTATACACTACAAATGCAGTTTCTGGACCCCTTCAAATTAGCTTCTGCTTAAAAGGGATGGGATCCAGGAACCTGCTCTAAGCGAGCACCCAGGCGATTCTGACGCAGGCAAGCCACAGACCCGCTTTAGAGAACAACTGGCTTGGTAAGTGGATGGAAATGGAGAATATCATGCCAAGTGAAATTAGCCAAACCCAGAAGCTCAAAAGGTCAGATGTTTTCTCTCATATGCAGAAGCTAGAGTGAAATAAAAGAAAGGGGGTGGGGGGAAGAATAGGATAACATAAGAAACCATCAAATGCAAATTAATAGATGAATGAAAGAAAGTTAGTAGAGGAAGGAAATGGGGAGGTGGAGGGAGGACAAGAGGGGAAAGAGGGGATCATGAACCATTCAATATCCATGCATGTATGAGTTTGTCTGGATGAACCCAATGATCATAAAGCTCTAATAAAAAAGAGAGAGAGAAAAGAAAACAACCGGCTTAATTCATCAAGTCTAGATCTACACATGAATTTAGATGGATTTGAAAAACTGGAGATTTTTAATGAAGCATCTCATAGAACAGATTCTCCTTTGACATTTCACCAATGTATTCCTTTCACAAGATGGAAATGAATGGTCAGAACTCTCAGGGGGATGGAGACCGAGCAGGAAGGATAGGGGCTAATTTAAAGTTTGGATGCTTTTCAAGGTTAAGGGCTGTTCTGGAGTCAGGGACTAGGAGATGTGAACAAAGCAATGGCAGCCTCATGTTCTCACAGTGAATTCCTCCATGATTAACTAGAATTACTTTTGAACTCAGAAATCAGGATTTGGCATTCTGTGAGTTAGATGACAACATATGTAGTAGTTTCCCCTCATCCATGGTTTCAGTTACCATGGTCAACTGTGGTCCAAAAATATAGTAGAGTACAATGAGATATTTTGAGAGAGACCACATTCGTATAAATTGTGTTACAGTTGGTTTGTACAATTTCCTTATTTTGTTATTACTATTATTCTCTTACTGTGTCAAATTGATAAATTGAACTTTATCACAGATATGGAGATATAGGGGAAATGTATATATACTGTGTACATATATATATATAGGGTTTGGTACTATGGGGCAGGTTCATGTCTCTACTGGGGATCTTGGAATGTATCCCCCACAGATGAGGGGTGAATACTGTGATTTGGTGTAAGGCAGCAACTCTTCAATATCCTTTTCCATCAAAGCAAGTTTTTACCTGCAGAAAAGCTGAGGTGTCAGCATTCCTACTCCCCAAAATCCTAGTGGGGTAGCCAAGGCTCTAGTTATTTTTCCCCAAACCTCCTTGGAATTTAAATTATCTCAGAACTTAAAATAGCGCCCAGTGTAGGCAGTCTTCTCCCACCAGCTGACGGCGCTCCAAGTTCCCTCTGAGTCACCGCTGTTCATTCCAGGATGAGAAGAAACTGACTGCAGATGGGTGGCATTTTATATTGACTGCTATCCAAAAAGAAAAAGAAAAAAACCTAAAAAGAAAAGATCTCAGACGAAGATTTTCTCCTGACTCAAAGATCTCATTTCAAATCTAGAAAGAAGGCAATAGGGCATTCTAAGTTCTACTTGGCAGAGATCTGTTCAAAGCAAGGCTCCACCACTGCTGCAGACTGTACCGGTCCCCTTGTCGGGTGGTTGGTGCACCACTTTGGTACCTGTGAAAACTAGCTGCGCTTCTAGGATCCTTGAATTTCCTGTTCCTAGACCTCAATCGTAATTTCTGACCGCTTTTCTGATTCCAGTGTACCCTCCAAAAATCCCTAGTTATTTCTCACCCTGGTTGTTCTCCTGCTAAAGTTCAGGTGGGCAATGGCAAGGGTCAAGGTCAAGGTCAGGACAGTCAAGGATAAGGTCAGCAGATGCAGATGAGCTGGTCCTAGGGGTGGGCGGCAGGGAAGGATGGTTAGTAATTTAAGAAGTCGATCCCCACTTTGACACTCTTTGAGGTGGCTATGTCGATGGCTGTGGCCTTGATCTCGGTGTCCCCGAACTGCATGAGGGTCTGGATTTCCCTCCTGGCAGGCACTGCTGTGCCGCTGGTCCCCGTGAGATCCAGGCGGAGCGTGCCACACTTCTTCACCCCTGGGTCAGTGATGAAGCTGACGGTGTCATGCTCAGAGCTGTAGATGTTGATGACAATGACCAGCTGAGAGGGCTTGGCCGGGGTATAGCTACGTTTGACCAGCTCTCCCAGGGCCACCGACTGGTCGGCAGAGATGAACTTGTCAAACACATCGGTGCACCAGCGAGTGCCGTCCTTCACCAGCAGCTTCTCGGGTGGGTGCTTACCCTCCACGTAGCGGTTCAGCACACCCACCCCGTAGGTGAGCGGGGACCTGCGCACCTTGATGACCGCAGGGTCCAGGCCGAAGAGGACGGCGCCCTTGAGGATGGTGAGGCCCACGTCCTGGGGGATGATGATCCGGCACTTGTCACCAAAGGCAGCATGCACTGCCTGCTGCAGGAGGGGTGCCTCGGCAAAGCCACCCACCAGGAAGAGGAACTTGACCGTGCAAACCTCCGGCTTCTGAAACAGGTCCCCTGAAAGGGAAGAAGATGGAGGAAGGTCACACCAGCAAAAGCCAGCAAGCAAGGGAGAAGCAGGCTGCTCGTCTCTGGGAAGAGACGAAACCACCTGGGCCCCAGGGAGCCTGGCTTGGTCTGAGCCATTGAGTTCTTATCAAGTTGGTCTTTCCTAGAAAAGGAGTTTTCACACCAGTGTGCTCAGCTGTAAAGGCCAGAGCAGCTGCTGAGTAGAAGCCCATTTGAACAGAGAGGCGGTGAACATTTTAAGTGGAACTTTCTATGGAGAAAGGAATCTCTCCAAAACGGATCACTTCCACGGTGGAGTAGGCCAGGGCCAGCTGTTAGAGCCAGGATTCTCTGACTTGCATAAAAATCTCATCCCACCTTTAGAGGTTCAGACTTGGAAGGTCGTGGGGGTAGGAAGAAGATGGGAGGTTTGGATCCTGGAAAAGGTCCCCAGTGAGTCAATGAGTGTCCCTGGGTGAAAGCCACCAACTCTGCAGGTTGACAGCACGGCCAGGTTCTGGTGGCCCTCTTGGTTCTCACTACAGTTCCTTCTCCCCTAGTAGGTAGGATTCCTAATCTGTCCTGGTCACACAAACAGGATGCGCTCCCTGGAGTGGCTGTTGGATGACAGGGCTTCAGAGCTCCCAGCTCTCTGACCTCTGGGACCAAACTGAAAGCCCAGGACAGGTTCTCAGCTACTTTGCAGTAGGAGAGGGATCCACAGCCTGTGTCCAGTAACCTCCCCCAGTTCTGTGGCTCCCAGACCCAGATCCCCTGCCAACCCGACTGCATGGTACTGGTTGGTGATGCTGGACAAGCCCCATGGATACTTACGGAGGTGCTCAATGATGCTGTCTATGGTTGGCTTAAAAAGGGCATTCATGGCATCTGGACTCATCCTCAGCATACCCTGGGAGGACCACTTCACAAAATCCACGCTGTGGGAAGGTGACACAGATGGGAACAAGAGTGAGTGCCTGCAGGTGCCGGGGCTGCTCTGCTCTGGCATGTGCCCTGGCAGAACATTGGTCACATCATGGGGCAGAAATGAGTTTCAAAGTCAAAAGCACCCTTGGAAACCCCCTCAACTGCCAAGGCCCGGACCATCAGAACCTCAAGAACTGACATAACCTCTTATATTTCTCTTTGCTTCCGACCTTCCCCTGAGATGATGGAGGCCAAAGTCTCGTGCAAGAAGGAAGGAGGTGCTTGCCCTCTGGACGACAGCGTGCTAAGGGCCCACGAGATGCCTTCACTGTGCTACATAAGCTACAAGTGTGTGTGCTGAGGCGGATCTCCTCAGCCCTCCAGGTAGCTGTCCCATGGCATGGATGTACAACACGTCCAGAAGCAGAAGTGTGGAACAGCAGGAGCTCTGGGGGGGGGGGGGAAGCCAGGTGGCTGGTCTCCAGGCTGGCTCCACGGCTTAGTAGCTATGGGACTTCAGGCACTTTGGCCTCTGTTTTCTCTGAGCCTGGTCTTCTCTGGAAGTCAAGGATAATGGCACTGGCCTCACCCCCTCACAGGGCAGGTTATGAAAATCAAGGTTTCTTCTCTCCTGTTCAGACTGGGCAACCAAACTACACAGGGCAGAACTTTGTCCCTGTTGGAGGATTCCAGCTACACTAACTAAAGAGTTGACAATTCAAATGTAACCCAGTGGTCACCCAGTGAATCAACAGACCCAGGTAATGCTCATCAGTCCCCTGATAGGATGCAATAGGAAATACCACCACCACTAAGTAGATTTGCCAGAAATCCAAACTTGAATCCAGTTAAACCACTGAGTCTATCTGTAAGCGAAAACATACCAGGGGCAGAATGAAAAGCTCTGGGACACCAAGTGCGTGCAGTGAGCAAACCCAGATTGCAGGGAACTCTCAAGCACGATCAACCAGTTTTGTCATCTGATAAAAAAGGGGGGGGGGAACCCATACACCAGGTGAGACTTGAGAGGTTCATTAGGATGCTGATGCAAATTGGAAAACCTTTAGGAGACAGTTGGAAAAACTGTTGATGATAACTGGATATTTGATATGGAAGAATTATTGACTTTAGGTGTGATGATGTCATGGTTACAATTCAGAATTCATCTCCTTTAGAACCATATGTTGACTTATTTATGGATTTGATGACAACCTATCTGAGATTTGCTTTACAATAACAGGGAGAGGGTCGTGAGATGTAGACTGAGTGGGAGCCAAGGATCCTGAAGCTGGGTGATGGAGTTTCATTTTCCATTATGGGAAGGTATCTATGGGAGGTTGTTAGGGTCTGTAAACAAGTCGCGATGGCGCCTGGCATTTTTGCCAGAGGGTTTGTGAGGTGGCACCAGCGAGCCATTAAGTGTGGAGATTCCTTATTGGTTGACTGCTGTGTCTAGTTTATGCTAATTAAGATAAGCTGTGAGGAATGTATATACACCCCTCCTGTCCTACAATAAACGGCTCCCACTCCTGCTGTATCAATGGACACAAGTTGCTCGTCACCCCCCCCCCCGGCTATTTTGCTGCAGCCGGGCTGCGGCAGATGGTGGCCCGTACGGGGAGCCCCGGGACACTCGGGGGTAAGTGACGAAAAAAAAAAAAAGCTGCCCGTTGCTAGATAGGACGGGAGCAAATCTGCTCGTCCCTAGGCAGATAGGGCGAGAGGAAAAATGGCCATTTTGAGAAAATGGAGAAGATTGATACAGTATGTTTGTGTCTTGTTTTGTCTTGAAATGTTGTATTGTCTTTGTGACGAAAATATGGAAGGGGTGAGAAGTAAATTACTAAGGGAAGAAGGCACCCCAATGGAACCAAGAGCAGTTAGGGCTTGTGTCGATAAAAGCCCAGGAACTCTAGTCAGAAAGAAAAAGAAAGTTCAGAAGAAGAAGGATTATCAGGAAAAAAGTTGCAGCAAAAGGCTATTACTGAATACTTTTCGTTACCGGAGGGTGCGTGAATTGGCACGGCGGCTGCTATGTGCGTGAGCCGGTCATGGCGCAGCAAGGACTTTCCAAGCAGCGGCAGAGGGCTCTTCCCCGCTCCCCGCCCGGGGAGTGGGACGCCACTTCGAGAGCCCAAATCTAGACCTGACCTGGAGGCAAGGTCTCACAGGCTCTTGCTCCCTGTGCCCGGTGGCAGTTTGAGTCCAGGACACTTCCCGTCTGGGGCTGCCCAGGACGCTGCAGCCCAGCGGAGGACGCACATGGCGCCCCTAAAGTTTGGTCATTTCCAGTGTCAATAACTACAATGGTTCTCCCACACCTGGAGGCTAATGAGTAATGAGCACCATTAAGGCCTATTTCAAATGTAACAAACCTTGAGATAATGTACTAAATTGTTCAGAAGGTTGTTTTCTTGCTGGAATACTACAGAATTTTCTTTAGCATCATTACCGGAGTTCCTGCCTTCATCCCAGTGCCGGTGAGGACGAGGGTGGAAGAATTTCCAGTATTGCTGAGAACCAGACAAAACTTCGGATCAAGCTAGCTGCCTGCAGAACTTACCTGGACTGTGATTTACCTGGACTGTGAGTTAATCTATTGAGACACTGCTTTACCTGGACTGAGACAACAAACTGTAATCTACAACAAATTTTAACTCAGTATCTTTGCTAACTGTGTCATTGCTGGTATAATTTTTCCAAGGGCTTCTTGCATGGAGCCATCAAGTGGCTTGGTATTGTGGCATTTTGTATCCTCCCCTTCTGTTTGTAGCAGGTTATTTATGGTGTTTGTGTAAAAACCACTATGGTCATTATTTAAATTAAACAAAAGGGGAAAATGTTAGGGTTTGTAAACAAGTCAGGATGGCACCTGGCATTTTGCCAGAGGGAGTGGTTTGTGAGGTGGCGCCAGTGAGCCATTAAGTGTGGAGATTCCTTATTGGTTGACTGCTGTATCTAGTTTATGTTAATTAAGATAAGCTGTGAGGAATGTATATATACCCCTCCTGTCCTACAATAAACGGCTCCCACTCCTGCTGTATCAATGGACACAAGTTGCTCGTCACCCCCCGGTTATTTTGCTGCAGTGGGCTGCGGCAGGAGGTGATGGATATGTAAGTTTCTTTGACTGTAGTAATCATTCCCCTGTGGATATGGAGATATATTTATATATATATATCAAAAAAACTATATTTATTAAAACCTATGATTTTGTCTTTTTTTTTTAATTCAGCTTAAAACCATCTTTCTAATACATTTATTTTACAACAAATACTTGCTTGTAGCCAAGGGTCTCAGAGAAGCAGGAAACTCAGATTCCCATGGGATTTATTCAACAAATATTATATTGAGTCCCTACTATGTACCAGCTTTTCTTCTAGACACTGGGATTTCAACAGTAACCCAAACTAAACTTCCCTGTTATCATAAAGCTGATATTCTTTAGAAACCATAATAACTAGCACAAAGGTGACACTTTTCAGGTCTCAAATAATGTGCTTAGTACCTAATATTTATGAATGGGTTTTATCCTCACAACAACACTAGGAGGTAAGCAGAACTCTTATCCCCACTTTCCAGATTAAAAAAAAAAAAAAAAAAAACCCTGAGTAGTAGAGAAATCAAGTCATTTGCCCAAGATAGTAAATGTGTGGGACTGGAACTCACCACCCTCCCACCTCTGACCAACACAATCCACCCGAGACCGTCCCAAGCCATAGGTAGCCAGCTCACTTGCTCTTCCTCAAGGCGTGTTCCACGCTGTGCCCACGGAACTTCTTGTAGTAGTCGATGAAGGAGAAGGGCAGGGTGATGTTGAGAGGGTTGGTTCTGTCTGGAGCAGCTGCTCTCTTTCGAGACTCAAAGGCAATCATTAAGTCGACCCAGGCTGCAGGACGCTTGATTTTGAACTGTTCGATAAAATCCTCTCCAAATATCTTACACAGAAGTTTCTCAAATTCATAATCTACTCCCAAGGATCCATAGGGCCCACCTGGGTCAGGAATGAAATGGGAGCCCATGATGTCAAAAACCATCAGAAACCAAATCCAAACTCAAAAAAGCCCACACTGTGTCCTCTGATGCACAAAGAAATGCAAAGTTGGACCCCCTCAGCCAGCGGACTGCAGAACCCTTAAGTTCTCACTCCATATGCAGAGATTATTTTTTTCCCACAGAAATCATCAGCAGTCTGTCTAAAATCAATTATGTTTCAAATAAGATCAATACATTTAATTAAATAGGAGCAAGAACATGCTTTGGTTTGGTGCCCTTGGTCCAAATGAGATGCTGTGAGACCTCCTAGAAAGCTGGCCTTAGCTCTTAAATCATAGGTGACATCACAACTTTCAGAAACCAGCTCCCTTGGCCAGACTCACCTAATGCTAAAAGTCAAGTTGGAGGTGGTTTGGGCTTCAAAGAACATTTAACTGCATTTTCCTATTGGTGGAGATGTGAATGTCCTGCACCCCCTGTGGTCCCACAGGCTGGTGACAGCAAGAGAAAGAAGCACTGTGAGGAGTCTGAAATGAGTGAAATGGAACCATCTGGGAAGGGCTCATGGGTGAGAAAACCAGCCATGCCGTGGCTCACCTGTTGCTTTATACAGTTCCTTTAGGTGTCCCTCGGGTAGCCGTATCTGATGGACTGTCAGGTCTACGGTGCCTCCGCCACTGTCCACAACCACATACTTGTCACCTGGTACAGACACAGCCATTCTTTACATAGAACCACTTGTCAACCCGTTCTGAAACAAGCTGGTGGATGATAACTTGGTCTACCCAGCTAAGCACCACCGGCACTGCTGCCTAGCACATGGTTTTGCTAATTAGCAGCCTAGCAAGTTATTCAGAGGGCCATCGAAGCATGGATGATGAAGAACCCAGAGAGGGCTCTGGATGACCAAAGCATGCATGTCACACCGTGCCACATACCAGGCACATACCATTACCTGCTGTTTAACACCAGACTTACTCCAGGACGAGGGAGTTCTAGTTCCTACCTTTCTTGGGAAGAGTCTGCATGATTTTACAACATGCAAAACTATAGCTCCCAAAAGGGCTCCACCTGGGTGAGTGGCCTTCCAAACCCACTGAGTTTGAACATTTTCCCACAGTGCAGAAGGAACAAATGGGAATGAAAAAACAGCAGCACACACACACACAAATGATAAATACATAAAATTTAGCAAGGGCAAAGGGTATTCGAGAATACTACCTTCCTCCAGCTCCGACCAGATTTCTCCTATGACATTCTCCACCAAAAAGGTCCGACTCTGACGATTACGCCGTACATGTTCCTTAGCTAGCAGCCAATAGAAAGAAAAGGACGATGGGTAAGGAAGCATGAAAATGCAGACAGTCATCTGCAGTTGGCAGAGATAACAGCACGAGGAGGAGGCTCAGGAATGGCACGTCTACTTATAGGTGATCAAAACAATTAATAAACACAGCATTCGGAATCACAAAGCCAGTTCCTCTAAGAGAAGGTGGTTCTTTACACCAGCCTTCATCTCTTCATCTCCTGGCCAGCTTTGGCCTGTGCCTAGCTGAAATCTCACCCTGATGACTTTCCCTTCCTCTGGTGACATTTTTTGGGGACTGGGTTAATAAAATCAATGTCCCAGCTTTACTGCCCCAGGGAGGAAGCCCTGAGCCAATTAGGCTGCAGTGAGCTCAGTTAAACAACTTCACATCAAGGAACTTTGTCCAATACAAAGGAAAGTGGGGTATGTCATCTGGATCCCAGGTAAATGAATTGAGCCCTTTCCTGACACTGTTGAAGCCAGTATGCTTTTCAGCCACAAGGTGGCGCTTCAGCCACAAGGTGGCATCTGAACTCTGCCTGTCCTGGCACTTGCTCACGAATCCTGGGGACAACCTCTGCTTGAGTCCACAGTGTGGCTTGGGCGGCTGGGGTATGAGAAGGATAGAGTACAAACCACTGTCCTATGTTCAGATGAGGAAACCAGGCCAGGCGAGGTGAAGGAACTTGCAACTCTTGTCTTGCAGCTCAAAATGAACCCACAGACCCTGACACACTCACGATTTACAGGGACATTTGATTAAGCAGAATAATGAGATGTTAGAAATGAGAAAGACACTGTGAAAGGACACAGCCAAGGTGGGAGTTGGGGCAAATCACTTAACTCCTCTGAGCTGCAGTTTCCTCATCTATAAAGAGGGGATGTTGATAGTTGGCCTCAGTTCCTTGTTGGCATATAGTAGGTGATAATGAAGGCAAAGCACCTACTATGAAACCTGATGCTCATCAAATGACAACTACCATGATTGAGTTAGACCAGGAAGAAGGCTCTGCCACCCATCCCCACCAACATGTTGTTGTTTGGATGTTTTTTCAGTCCCTGAGCTGGTGCTGCTGTCTTTGGATTGCCCTTGGTTGCTGGTTACCCAATACAGCACCCTTGGCCCGCAATCCTCTTTCTGCAAGGAGCACAGTGTTTGCAAAACAGTTTCTGTGGGGATCAGAACTTCAGATGCCCCGTCAGCTCTGCCGACTCCAAGTGCTCAAGGCCTAGGTTAGATTGGAGTGGGAAGTGTCCCAGGAGGGCCCCCAAACTCAGGGCTTCTTTCCTGTTCCTTGGGATGAACCTCTGTTACAGACCTTGCAGTGGGCATCTGCTGTCTGAGACAGTCTAGATGACACATATGATGGCCTTCGTGAAAACAGCCAAGTGAGGCGAACAGAACACGTACTGAGCTCTCAAAAAATTATCCTATTTCTTTCAGGCAGATTAAGCCCACTATTTGTGTGTGTGTGTGCGGGGGGGGAGACAACGGTGTCCTTTATTGATCTCATCCTTACAATAAAATAGCACCAATGGCAAACCTTGCGTTCAGGGAGCCGCGTGTCAGCTCTACTCCTCGGGGCCTAACTGGACCCCCTTCACAAGGGAGCCTCCAAGCACCTCGGGCATCCTGATTAAGTGCTCTGCTGCAGCACCCCCTCCTTCTGGGAGAGGCTTCCCAGTTGTAAAGCAAGGCTGACACCAGATCCCCTGCCTTAGGGCCCCTCGGAAGTGTGGTGTCCAAAAATTTGAGGATTTCAAAATCTAGAAAGCCCTCTGAGCACACAGAGACAGCAGCACATTCCACGAGCCACAGGACACAGACACAGAGCCCTGTGGGGGAGATGTGATTTGTTAAAGAAGAAGAAACACAAAACTGAGCTCTTGGGGAATGCAATGATCAAAAATCAGATTCCCCTCAAAATGTGTTCTATTCACAGAGTACATAAGAAGAGCTATGCCAGAATCAGCTGATCCTGACATGAATTTCTTTTCATGAACAACTGAGAATTTACATGTAAGATATAAGCTCAGTCTCTCCCCCTTTTTCCAATGAAAACAATAAAGAAGGAAACCTAAACAAGTACATGATGTCCCAAGTATGTAAGTGCTACCGTGTTTGACTTAGTGAGCTGTAAGGCCAGCCTCGACTTTCCCTGGGGAGCTACAGCATGACTAGGGGTAACCCAGGCCTAGGATTTAAAGTGAAGCCCGTTTCATTATTTCTGGGGAAATCGGCTCTAAGGCACTATCACACAGCCCTAGCAGGCTGTGGCAGTAGCCTGATGACAAACAGACCTACTACAGCCTCCTGGCTGAGGTTTATAGACTCCTAACTCCAGGGATTCAAATGCAAAGAGGTGACCCCCCAGGGCAGTTGCCCCTGTGAAGAGGAAGAGGAGCAGCCTGGAAAAGACCCCCATATGCAGGGGCAGGAATGTGTATCTTCTCAGAGTCAGCAGAGGCCAGGGCCTTGGGACACAGACGCAGGCTTCCTGGTCCTCATCTGGGAATAAAGCAGAGCCTACAACTCTGGAGCCCAGGAATCCACTGGCACCCATGCTCATGTGGTGCTTTGTCCCTGACCTAGTCTGTCTGCAAACGCTGAAGCCCTGAGAGACCCATAGAGCCCTGGACACCAGAGAAAACAGTTCTGGGGACCAAGATTGTGACCCACTTGGATGCAGGTAACTAGTTGAAAAATAACTATTAAAAAGGAAACTTCCTCCAAATACTCACCCTGAGCCTCCCCAAGTGGGTGTTCTTCCCACAGCTAAGTGAGCATCGCCTGGGTCAGGAGGTCAGCCCATTCCATCTGTATTCTAACCTCCGCTAAGACACACAATGAGCTCATCACCCAGAAAGCAGCCCCACTGAGTGAGTCAGAAATAAATGGACAGTCTTAACGGAGGAAATAATAACAGGAAACTGGGATTAGAGGGAGAATCAGCTAGTAGGCAAGAAAGATCCAGGGCTAGAAAGCTGAGGCTTGGGGGTGTGGCTCAGTGGTAGAGAGTTTGCCTAGAGAGCATGAGGCCCGGGTTTGATGAACAACTCTCTGGCTACCTTCAGGTCCTTGACGAAGCCCCTCCAGGCAATTATGGGTGATATGCCAGGTGACCATTGCTTAGTCCTCCAAGAGGCCAGGAAGGGAGGCTGACACAAAGAGGCTTAAAGCCAGCCTCCTCCTAAGGTATCTTGATCCTTCCTTATGGCATTAAGTGCCTCCAACATCATCAGAGGTAGAGAAACACCCGGGGGCGGGGGGGGGAGGGAGGGAGAGAGAGAGCAGAGGTACCCTGTGCAAACCCCGCTCCTACTGTGTCACTGGCGCTGTACCCATTGACCGCCGCCTTGCCGCTCAGCTCAATCATCTGGTGCAGACGCAGCTTCCGGCAGTAGATGGAGGCGGCCTCAGGCTCCAAGGCAATGATGAGCTGCTCCGAGTTCTCAGGAGAGGCCAGGCCTGCCTGGAAGACAGAAGCTGAGGCTAGGACCAGGGCTCCCTGGGCAGGCTGGCTCAGAGACACCATGGTTCCTGTCATCACTGTGCTGCTTTGTTGATGTCTCCTTGGTCTGACACTCCCAAGGGAGGGACACCCACGCTCTGCATGTTTGGGACAGTCCCACGCAGACTTTGGCATACTGAGCCCCAAACACTTCAGGGTGGCTAAAGAAATTGTACAAGCACCCTCAAGAAACACAAGGCTCTGGCCATGGGACCTCTTGCACTTGGGCCTTGATTGACCCAGAGTTGAGAAGTACCAGGGAGGAGGCGGGGTGTCTCTGGGCTGTAGGATGCAGGTGGGGTTCTATACCAAGTGGGAAAGACAGAGTTACAAAAGTCTCCAAACTTTGAAAATCATCCCAGGTCAGAGGCAGGTGATCTGTTCCCGGGTTATAGTGGGCAGTACAGCAGACCCCACCTTGTAGACCTCAGCTAGGCGAGCATCTGACTTGTACAGGTATCTGATCTGCTCTCTGTGGAGCACTGGGAGGCTCCTGCCATTTGCCTGCTTGGGGAAATGTATAAGCAGTCACTCCTGGTTGAGGAAGCCCCTCCTGGAACCCCAAGGAGTCCCTCATTTTCTAAATATGGGAAGTCATCCCAAGTATCTTATCAAAGCCTTTATTCTTTTCATAGTTTATATTACATATACATATCAAATATAGTCGTAAAAATTTGGTCCCCAAATTCTCATCTGTGGTCTCCATCTGCATTTGGGATCCTGGCCTCCAGGAGGCAGAAATGCTTCAGTTCTGTGACACGTGACCCGTCCCAGTCAAGCCCCTTCCAGGTCCTAAGAAGGGCCAGCCATGAAGCCCCAGGACCACCTTTCTGAAGGTGCTCAGAGAAATGGGCCTGGGCCTGTAACCAGATCCCTGCCCCTCCTACGGCCCTGAGCTGGAGCAGGAGGTCCACAGTGGAGGCTGTTCAGGTGCACGGGGTTTCCTTGGCCACCAACAGGAGGGACAGGGCACACATGGTTCCCATTACCACTGTGCTGCTTTGTTGATGTTTCCAAGGACACCTGCCCTCGTGCCACATCCACTTGGGAGGAAGCCCCTTTCTGCAACCCTCTTCTACACCAGACCCTCAAGGTTTAGTGGATTCTTCTCATGGACCAGGCATGGAAGTTTTCCTAACTTCGTGCCTGCACGAAAAACCTCTCCTCAGGAGGAGCTGGCCTAGAGCCATGGTTATAGGGGCTTAGGAGGGTCCATCAAGAGCAAGGAACAAGCAGATTCAGGTAGAACATCAGAAATGTGACAGGCCTTCGGAGACTCTGTCCACCTCCTTCACTTAACGTACAAAGACCAAGGCCCAGAGCAGTAGGGGCACCAGCTGTCCCAGTGTGCCAGAATAAAGGGATTTCCTGGGACATGAGACTTTCAGTGTTAAAACAGCACAGTCCTGCTGGAAGGTGTCCAACCCTTAAATGGTGGCACCAGCGCAGGCTGGGGTCTTGAGTAATATTAATCAGCATTTTGTTGTGATAAAAAACTAAACAAGAACAACTTAAAGGAGGAAAGATTCATCTTGGTTCCAGAGGTTTTACTCCATGGTCAGTCAGCTCTGTTGCATTGAGTCTGAGGCGGGATGAACAGTAGGGCAGAAGGGTGTGGTGGAGGGAAGCTGTTAGCTCATGGCAGCCCAGCAGCAGAGGTGGGAAGTCGAGGCCAGGGACATGATATAGTCTTCAAGGACACCCCCCCCCAGTGACCCATGCTCTTCCTGCCTACAGTTTCCACCAGCACCCAGTAGTCCATTCAAATTATTAGTCCACCAAATGAGGTCATTATCCAATCACTTCCCAAAATCCCCACCTCTGGATATCGCCGTCCTGGGGACCCAGTATTCAACCCCTGAGCTTTGAGGCATTCCAGATGCAACCCATAACATGAGACCTGCAGACTAGGCTCTTTAAATTGCTACTGGCTCTCCTGCTCTTAGTGCCTCTAGTTACAGGTCCCCAGCCAACCCTGGCACTGTGACAAAACTCTCCCGTGCCCCTCACACTCCCTCCTCGACGTTTCTGAGGCACCGTGTTTCACCAATGACTCTGGGACAGTATCAGATGACTCACTGCCTGAATGGGCTGTCAGAAGTTCTCCATTACAACTACACCCACAAGGAAATGTCGTCAATGGTGTCCTAAGGAGGTATTACCAGTAGGTTGGTGACAGAAAATCACTCCGTAAATATCAATGTCTCACAAGTGGCAGAGCCCCTTCTGGAAGTCAGGCTTTATAAAACCAGATGGGAGCCACACCTAAGTCCTACACCATCCACAGGGAGCCTCCAACCCCTGCTGCTCAGGATCCACATAGGAAGACGGAGGCCCATCAGCCTGGTCCAGTGGTGGAAGAGGCCAGGGCCACCCTTACGTGACACTGGTCAACAGGCCACTGACCAAGGCATGAAGAGATTTTTCCATTATTTGTTGAAGCAATTAAAAGTCTCCATTCTCCAGCTTCACCTTCTCCCAGGGTCACATTAGACATCCTTTTAGCACAAAGATGGTTGAAAGTTAAGGGGCCCAAGGAAACAGGGTGTGGGTCACACATGTGCAGTGCCACCAAGAAACCTTGAATTCTTGGGTCTCAGGGTCCCAGAAGAAGAAATCCAAAATAAGACCAGAAGGAACCCTTCTAAGGGACAGCTCATGCCTTGAAGTTTCCATTCTTGCATCTGGTGCATCAAGGGCCTCCTGGAAGAGCAGGAGGCCAGCTTCCCAGCACGGACGGGGAATAGGGAAGATGGGCTGCCAAGGAACAGCTGGGCCTGCATGGATCACAGTCTCTGGCTAAGTTGAGACTAGAAAATAAACTAGGCAGAGGGGCAGTGAGGACTGTGGGGACAGAGCCCCATGGTGCAGCCCAGAGACTCAGTGTTAAAAGACACAGGCAAAGACCCTGCTGACTCAAAGGCCACATTACTGTTAGTCTGTCTGGGATATCAACCTAGAGAGGGCCTGCGCTGTGACAGAAGGGGACAGGAGGTAGAAGGAGCTACATGTGAACTCCTGGTTCCTCTGCCTGCCCTGCTCCTGAGATTCCAAGCGGGAACTCCGTCCGACTTAGATGGGAAAAATCTTTCCATGGAAAATCAAATCAAGAAGTCCAGAGGCATGAAGTGCCTCGAGTGAAATGACACAACAGGAGGGTGTCTGGGTGTGCAGGTGACAACCCAGCAGGGCAGTTGGGACGCTCCTATATCCTAATATCAAAAAGAGATACCAAGCTAACCCCAGTCTGCCCCAAACAGCACTGCATGGACCTGCAGGGGGCAACTTTCATCTGTCCTGTCCCTCCCCAGCTGGTCTGGCCTGGCTTCCATGGCAATAGTTGTGACACATTTCCTTACAGGGGTTCCTCACTGCATCTGGGAGAAGATACAGACAAGGGGTAAAGAGGAGCCCACTCCAGAGGGGAGCAAGCAGCAAGATCAGAAAGGGGCTGTTCAGTGTCTGGGTGACCAAACAAAGCAAGCACCCCCTGTCACACTTCCCAGGAGAGGGACCTTGTTCCCACCAACAAACTCCTGCAGTGCCACAGAGAAGAGCTGCAGGGTGGGGGCGGGGGCAGGCAGCTGGTTCTACACAAATTCCATCTCCCCAGGAGGAGTCCCAGACTCACTTAAGATTCCAAGAACAGGAGGGAACGGGCCAGACTCTGAAAACTTTTGTTTCTTGCAGCCACTCACAACCGCGGCCCTCTGGAGACCCGTGGCTCTGTTTGCCTGAGATCAGGCCAGGTCAGCTGGAGCAGAACATGCTCTTCACTGATTCTGCCTTTGGAACTGGTACCACACTGCTCCTCGTCCACTGTGAGGTATCCCTCCACAGGGGCCCTGGCCGCACACTTCACGGATTCTGTCTCCACCTACACAGACAGTGCCTTTTCTAAGGGCATCGGTCAGGTCTCCTCGCCCTGTAGCACATAGTAGGTGCTCAGAAGGCAGCTGAAAAGGCAATGAATCGACCAGCCCTCTAGCCAGCCTCTCTTCTGCACTTTTCTGACCCTTACCTCTGCTGAACACACACGTTCCACAGGCACAACCTGGGAATCCTACAAAGTGCCTGAACCGGGAGCCTGCTACCTGCTACCCCCCCTGACTCCTCCGGGAATCTGGGCCAGCAAGAGCAGCCTCCTCATAGTAGCTTTTCAGAGCCTCGCTTTGTGATCAAGAGCTCCACTCAGCAGGGGAAGGCCCTGGGGAGCCCGCGGAAGTGGGTGTTTACCCCGACTGCTCAGCTCCACAGCCCTCCTCCTCTGCAATCTGCCAGGAAGATCCGCCAAGAGACTGTGTCCATAGCTGAGAAAAACGGCCAGAACTGGTAAGTGCTCTGCTGGCCTGTCATCAGGCTAAAGAGGGCTACAGCTGCACCACCAGTGGGTGTGACGCACTTCTGTCCCCTGGTAGGACTGTTTCTCATGCAGCTTGTTCAGACTGGGAGGCAAATGCAAGCTGTTAGATGAGATCATCGTACATATGGGAACATCATTTATTTAACAGGTTTCTGGAACCTTCTACAGTTAGACATTTTAGGCAAGATGCCTTTAGAAAAATCTAGATCAGTCCAGTAGAACTCTTTCCTGGTTCCAGATCTTTCCCAAAGGCCTTGGAAGGGGGATCGGCTGTTCTTTCCACTACCATCTTGTCACCAATGCTCTCCAAAAGTCTATACAGATCCTGAGTCTGTGGATTATAAAAGATTGAGGTTTGACTCATTTCTTCAAGAAGCACTGAGACCAGACAAGTCTGGGGAGTCCCATAGATGAAATATACCTGCGTGCATGGCTCTGCAGGCCTCATGGGCAAAGATGTGACTCACTATCCAGACCAGAGGATAGTGAGCAGAGGGCCATCCCAGGTCTACTCTGCCCCTCTTTCCCCTCCACCTGGCAGGTGGGAGGTGAAGCCCAGCCCTATGTGACTGTGTCATGAACTTGTACCTGGGAAGCCTCCATAAGCCTGAAAGATCTCCACATTGCCCACCCAAGCAGAGTGGAGGTGCCTAGTCCCCCAGCTGCCCTGACAGCCCTCCCATCCTACCTCATTCTTCAGGTTCTCATGCATGAAGTCAGTCTGGTGGGATGCTCTGTGGGCAGATGGATGCCCTTTGAACATGCTCAGTAGTCGCTGGGCTGAGGACTATGGGTTTTGTTCAGGTGTTGTATTAGCCAGGTTCTCCAGAGAGACAGAACCAGGAGGATGTAGAGATACATACAAAGAGACTGATTGGGGGCTGGGATTGTGGCTCAGCGGTAGAGCACTTGCTTAGCAGTGCAAGGCCCTGGGTTCGATCCAAAGTACCCCATAAAAATAAAATAAAAATATTGTGTCCAACTACAACTAAAAAATAAATATTAAAAAAAAAAAAAGACCGGAAGGATTTGGCTCCCAGTTATAGTCTGACAAGTCCCAAGATCTGCAGTCAGCAAGCTGGAGCCCCAGGGGATCCAATGGCGTAGATCCTATATCCAGAGGCCACAGATTGGAGGCCCAGGAAGAGCCACATTTCAGTTTCAGTCCACAGGCAGGGAAAAAACCCAGCGTCCCAGCTCAAACACATGCAGAAGGCTTTTTTCCCCACTCAGTGGAGGGTCCGTCCTCTGCCCTACTCATTCCTTCAGTGGGTTGGAGGACACCTAGCCACGCAAGGGAGGGTCATCTGCTCTATTCAGTCTAGCCATTTAAATGTCAAATTCATCTAAAACACCCTCCTAGGAACCCCCAGAATATAATTTTAGCCAGAGAGCTGAGCATTTCACTGGCCTAGTCAAGCCGACCCATAAAATTCACTCTCACGGTATAGGTATAGTATCTTTTTTATCTATATAATAATGGCGGGGTGGTATAGCATGGAGTGATGTAGCAAGCCTGACTTGGTTCTACCCTGGAACTCTTCAGAAGACAAGCTGAAGAGACCACCTATAAGTCCACAAAACAACCATGCCCCTAATGCACCCCCTGTAGCCCCAAACTGCTCCTCCACGAGCAACCTGAGCACAGGGACCTGTCTAGGCAGGAGATGAACCAAAGGCCTGCCACAGTCCAGGCACACAGAGGCCTGTAGGTGTGTCTAATGAATAAACTGATGATTTGGCAAGAATGATCTCTGCCATCTTTAAATCCACTGGGCCATCGTAAACTGCACACAAGTATCAAAGCAAAATCATAAAGAGTTAAAGCCTAAACAGCAAGAATACTGGCCCAGAAAATGTCCCCCAGTATGGAAAAGTCAGGCCCTGCCTACAGGGTGCCTCTGGGCTTCAGAAAGCAAATTCACAATGCTGGACAGCTGTCCCTGATGGGAGCTGCTGGCCCTTGTCTTTCTGAGGGACCACTTTTATTCCGAAGCCCTCCTGGGGCCTGGTTTCCTCCTCAGGCTCTCCAGTGTGGGCCTCACCCATTCAGAGAGGTCATCCTAGGATGACCTGCCCTGGTGAACTGACCAGGAACTGCCCCTCTTTTTTCTTAATCAGGCTAAAAATACAATTTGACCCTTTATCAGGTCACAAACTTGTTGCTCAAGTTTTCCTGTGGCCTGGGAAATGTGAGTCAAAGCCCTGAATCCTGAATCTCCTTCCCGAGGAAAGCTCTGAGCACTGGGCGGCATCTTCACAACGGCCGTGTCCCACTGCCCCATCTTTGGTGAAGGCTTTTGTGAACAGCTAGATGGCTCCTTCCCCCTTTCCATCTTAAAGAAATGGCCTTTTTCTGGAACCTCCACCCTTTTCTCTCATGCCTATGAAAACAAATCTATTTTTGGCAGATCCATTCAGGGAGCCAGATTCCCAAAGGAAGGGAAGAGGAGGAAGCAGCCGGGAAAGGGGAGCGCGTGCTGGAGGGGTGCTCCCCACCCTTGACGGTTGGCAAGGATGTTCTGGATGCTGCGAGGAGTAGGCCCCTGAGTGTCCAACCCAGGGTGCCACACTAGGGCTCCACGACCGCTTCACTATGCTCAGACTCTGTGGGGGTTTTGAATAGAAAGGCTCATACACATGGCCACAAACCACGTCAGAATATCCCCCTGCGAAATGTGGTCAGGATGTCTCCTAAGAGGTGTGATGGAGGCTCAGGGACATCTGCTGCCTTGGTGATGGGTCCCAGCTGGGCCTGAGGTTGAAGACTCAGAAAACTGACTCTTAGGATGTAGAGAGTTGTCCCAGGCCCCGGGACCCTTCAAGTCCCTTCCCATAGCCTCCTCTCTGTCCCCTTGGAGGCCTGTGAATACTGGGTGATACCTGAGCAGGGCTACCGTCACCACCATGAGCATCCTGGGTCCTTCTGCTGCCGTCCCACCTGCCCGGCCCCCGCCCTCACCTGGTAAGCAGCTTGTCTCATGAACTGCTTGGCCGGCTGTTTCCAGATAGCAGGCACCGTGATGACCCATCTGACATCCGAGTTCTCAAATTCCGAACCCGCCTGGTCACTCAGCTCCTAAAGTCAGGGAGACACATGCCATGGGTTAGGTGGCAGTGTGGGTCCGAGAGCACACCTCCAGAGGCTTCATTGAGAATCCAGCTCCCACCAGGGACTTCCCAGGAATCTAGCCTCTGCAACTTTCCAGGGTCAGTGGGGCAAGAGTCTGTTTTTTCGAATATTCAGCAAGAAGAGAGCTCACTGAATGTCACCCAGAAATGAGGGAGGTGGTCAGAGGGAAATCCCTTTGGTCACTTCTTAGTCTTTGGACATTGGACAAATGACAACCTCCCAGGCCTCAGTTCTCGTGTCTATACAAGGGTGATAATAATACTTATGGGTTGTTGGAGGATTGAGAACTGCACTTACTGAGGGCTTACTATGTGTCAGTCCCTTTGAGCACTTTGAGGGCCTTATTTCTGCAAGAACCCACATAGGAAGGGATACTAACTGTGCTCCTTTCCTGGATGGGAATGCTGAGACTTGGAGAAACTCAATTCCTGTGACCACCGCACAGCTAGAAAGTGGCAGAGCCAAAATTTAGACCCAGACCCAGGTCTACCTTGACTCTAAAGGCCAAGGTCTTAACTAAATTGTCACATGTCATCTCATGTCTAGAACAGCAGCGCTGGACCCACAGGAGCACTACTGGTGGCAGCCTCTATTGAGGGTGTCATCTACCTTCTGCAAGCCCAGCATATGAGGGGAACTTTCCTGTCCAAACAGGAAGGGTGCGAATGACATGACCTAACTAAGGACCACGCGGCCTTCTACTTTCAGTTAAGGTTATTTTGCATCAGGGGGACCCATGAAGATAAATGGTGTGGCCAAAGCATCAGAGATTTTTCCACCTGGCCACCACAGATAAGTCGCTGTTGGAGATCTCAGACTCGTATTCTCATCTGCAAAATGGGGAGAATAAAACAAACCCGCAGCAAAACTGAGAAAAGTTTGTGGAATGCCTGGCCTGAAGACAGCCTCTGATCAATGCTAGATCCTTCCTTCCTTCCTTCCCCTTCCCACTGCCGCATTTACCAGACCAATCTGAGATCAAACCTAAACACACACTAAGGCACTTCTGTATCAAAGTCAGCTCTGGGGACACAAGATTAACAGGCTGGTTTAAAAAAAAAAAAAAAGAAAGAAATTACTTTTCCTGAGGGTGTCTGATATTCCCTATTGTTTCGAATAGTTATCCCTGTTTGACCCACTGAACTCACTTCCTCTTTGACCAGTAAACAATTTTTTTGCTGTTTACTGAAAAGTCCTAATTTTAAAAATTGTGGTAAAAATATATGTGCCATAATATTTACCATCTTAACCATTTTTAAGTGTACCGACTAGTAGTGTTAAGTACATTCAGTAAACATGATTTTTAAAACACCCCTGCCCTTGGTCAACATAAAACAGCCATTTTTTTATGATTACGTTTTGTTTCTTTGCAGGACCTCGTGGGGCTTTGAAAAGCAGGGGAGCCGGCTGATGTGTTGGACCAGTCACCGCGCAGGCCAATTTAAACTCTTTGCACAGGAAAAGGGCTCAGAACATGAGGGATGGGCTTCTCTGGGCTGTCTGGGAGGCTGAGAGGAGCCCTTTGCTCCACAGTGGCTGGAGAGAGCGTGGACAGCAAAGGCAGGCAGGCTGGGGGTGTGGCTCAGTGATGGAGCACTTGCCTAGCAGGCACAAAGCCCTGGGTTCAATTCCCAGCACTGCCGCCCTCCTCCATAAAAAAAAGCAAAGCAAAGACACCAACATGGAGGATCTTATTATGTCAGGTTCCTCCACCAGCTGCTCTCCTTCATGACAGCAGGATTCGTAACCAGACTGCTTGGTGGAAGTGCTTTCTCAGGCTCTCCACGTCGGCAGATTCATTCTACTAGAGTTCATTCTGGTCAGGCATGCCAGTCCCCTCCCTAACCAGCAATGTCTGAGGCTGCACCCTGCTGTTCTGAATCCAGAGCCTGCGCTCTCTCCCTCCAGGCTGCGCCTCGCAGGCAGGTGCATCAACCTGGAGATGGAGCCTAACATGCTCTGACAGGCATCAACCGCCACCCTACCTTCAGCGCCTGCTCCTTAAAGTACTGCAGGGCATAAGCGAAGATTTCAAGGGCTTTGACTTTCTTGCCATTTGCTGCTGTCAGGTCTGTATCCATGGTGAGGTCCTGGTGGGGGGAAAAGGAATGAAACAATAATGAGACAAAGGAGAGATACACCTCTGACTTTGGGAACTGATGCTTGGAGATCTGGACAATCCTGGCAAGCCATGTATATGTTTCCCCATTTGACAAGGTAGACTAGGATGGTCTGGTCCCCCAAAGGGGCCTGGCAGCACTGTCCCTTTACTGTGTAAGAGGCTCCGGTTGTTCCCTATAGGCCCCAACGTCCCTCCCTCCCTCTTTCTCCCTGGACCATCTGGGGGTTTCAGGGCAATAGCAGAGGCTGGGAAGAGAAAATGGGCAGCAGACACCATGCCTGGTGCGATTTACATACTATTTCCATATGTGGTCACACATGGTCACCCTCAGAGGCCCCTAGTGGAGGCCTAATTCATGTCAACTCACTGCCACGCATGACTCTAAACAGACATGAAGCTCTCACTCCCTGATTAGCTGCCAACCAAGCTACCAAAATAGAAGAGCTCCTATTTTAAGGTCTGCCCTGTCTAATCCACTGGGAGCGCAATATGGCTGCCTGCAGTTCTCTGCCAGAAGCCAAAGCAGCTGCTGCACACAGTCCTTGGATGGAGACTGCTCCATGGAGCCCAGATGCCAGGTGGACAGAGGTTATTTTAAAAATGATGAGAAAAGCGTCTGTGGGGCTGTGGGGCAGAGGATGGGCAGAGAGTGGAGCAAAAACCAGGAGGAAGCCCCGGGCCAATAGGCTCATTAATGCCAGGAAACAATCCGGGGACCTCTGGATTGATGTAGGCTGGGTGACTATGCTCCGCCTTTGAAGAGAGAAGCAGCAGCGGGTACAAAACTGGCCTGGTGTTGACGTCTGCACGTTCTTGTCCCACCTGCCACCTCCCTCTCTTGGTGCTTAGCAAAGATAACCCAGCCTTTGGCCCCCAGGCTCAGGAAGGCCAGAGCACCAGGAAGCCACAGCTCTGAACTTAAAAAAAAAAAAAGAACTTGAAGTCAACAGTACACTGCCTCCGGCTGTACAGTCCCTGACATTCAGCATCAAATCCCATCAGGAGAAATGGGAGGAGTCACTTCCAGCCAGAGTCCATCTGCATCAGATGGAGACCCACGGTAAGGTGCTCACAGAACCTTGGAAAGCAGGGTGCTGGCTGCTGAGTCTCCCATTGACATTTGTTTTGACAGCTGCAAACATTTGCCGGCTGACAAAGGAAAGTGGTGCTAATGGGAGGAGCCCTGGACTAGGCCCTACCCTGTCCAGGGCACTGTTCTGAGAGATTTCTGCATCTTCATTCCTTTAATCTTTACAATTCCCCCACAAGCACGGAAGGTGCTGTCATCGTCTCCATTTTACAGATGAAGTTGAATGAGGCACAGGCAGGTTAAGTAACTTGTATTAAACCTCTTGAAGGTACGAGAGGCAGCAGTTAAACCCAGGCTGCCTGGACCTGGGGTCCGGGGTCTCAAACCTTATCACTCTCTGCATTTCCAAGTCCTGGGAGTTGAAGAGAGTTTATGGGATGAAAATGCTCAAATTGAAAACAACTCCAGCTTCCTATTAAGCTTCGAGCTCCAACGTCCATTACCGAACTAGCTTTCTGGGAACAGAAGTGAGGCCACAGCCTGGCATGTGAGCCTCCTGTTATTGGGAGTTGGTGTCCTGAGCTCCTCCTTCCCCACACTGAGGGTTGATTTGTCAGCTGTTACTGGTTGTTTCTTCCAAACCGATTAGTTAATAGCCACTGCCATGAACCCCAGATGTTCTCAGCCCCTGAGGTGCCCTCTGAGGTGCTCCCTGTGGTGCTCCCTGTGCAGAGAGGAGCTCCTGATCTCCCAACAACCCAACCACTGAAGGGGGGACTCCTGGGACAGAAGGGGGGCCAGCATCCTGTACCCAACCTACAGCCAGGGTTCCCTCTGACTGACCAGTTTCCAAGACAAATGAGTAGTTCAATATTCTGAATGTCTCTCTGACCAATGGACACCAGAAAGCAATGCGCCCCACAAAAAGTGTCATGTGTTCAAGGTAAATGGACCTTAATTTCTGTTGTGGAGAAACCTGAGGGCCCCTGGGCTGGGACACATCCCGCCCCCCAGGGCTGTCTCCTGAGGAGAACTCTCTCACCCCTGTGGTGTGCAGCTTCATCTTGAACTTCTCCAGATACAGCCACTGCTTGGCCTCGGTGGGATCCAGGTCATGGTAGAAGTCCCTGGCAGCGTATCCAAAGCTGTGGAACTTCCTCTCAGGGGTCAACAAGATGGTGGTCGGGGTCTTCTGGTTGGACACCCCAGGATCGCCTCCCTCCCATCGCCTGCCACCAAGGAAAGGCAGAGGTTATGAGGCCTTTGAAAATCCCAGTTCAGGCAGCACTGAGTAAGCACCCACTGTATGCAAAGCTGTCATAGATGTGAAGGTGTAGGTACACTCTGGTCCAGGTGCCTGGCTGTGGCCAGAGACAGGATTTCAGTTAGAAAGGGAAGGGGCAATTGCCACGTTCCTGCTCAATAACACATTCTAACTTCACTCTCTCACTCAGCACTTATTGAGGAGCTACTCTGTGCCACGTGCTGGTGACACAGGGACAGAAAATTTATGTTCTGCCTTCCAATAACTCAGGTAGGTAGGTAATTTGTTTTGGATTTTGCAGGGGTTGGGGGTTAATCTGTAAGCACTCAACAGCATCTGGTTGGCTTGAATCCTCTTTGAAAAAAATATATAAATGCCAGCCCTCTTAGATGGAAATGAGGGGACCAGAGAAGTGGTCTGAGGAGATCAGAGAAGGAACAAGTGCCCATGTGGCCATGTGGCCAGGAAAGTGTGCAGGACTCAGGGGGATGGGAGAAGCTAAGGAAGACTGGATCTCAAAGGGAAGAAGGACCGTCCTGGCTGCTGGTGAACAGGTCAGGAGTGGGCAACGTGTGTAAATGAGAAGAGCGACTGTGTCGCTGGAAAAGAGAGAAATGAGACTGGGAAAGTGGTGGCCCCGGGCTGGGGAGGACCCTAAGGACTTAGGAAAATCCGTGAATAATGGGGAGCCACCAAAGGTCTTAGATCAGAGTGTGACAGAATCAGAGCTGCTGTTCACGAGGGCAAACTGAACTAAAGAGGGCGGACAGGCAGCCAGCGGGCAGATGCAGAGTGAGACCTGGCCTGGAAGCCACAGGAAGAGAGAGGTCGGGGCAGAGGAGTGCCAAACCTGCCCAGAGGGAGAAGTGAGCCAACTGGGCATGGCCGTGAGCAGGAGCCCGGGCACCCTTGAGTCCGCAAGCTCAGGAGCCCAGAGGAGAGGGCACAGACAAGAGCTGAGAGCCAGGCCAGGGGAGCTGGAGGGAAGGGCAGGGTGTTGAACTCCTGGAGGGAGGGGTGGAGAATAAAACCCCAGAGTTCATGGGAGAGATACTGGCAGGAAATGAAGCTCACAGATCAGTGACAGCCAGGGTGACAAGAAGGGATGGGAACATCGAGGAGGGAAAGGGCCACTAAGGCGGAGCCAGAAGAAAGGCGGAAGACAGACTCAGGTGGTGGAGCAGAGCAGGAGTAGGCTGAACCCCAGAGAAGCTTCCTTCCTCTGTCACCAGAAAGAAAGGAGAGACAGGGAAGTGGGATGGAGAGGGCAGGTGACTCACGCTTCCTCTCTTCACTGCACAGAAGCCAGGGCTGCCAGGACCCAGGCAGCTTGCTCCCTTCCACGCGACCCTGGGAGCAGCCTCAGGTGGAGACTCAGCACAGAGGGGAACTGGGGCGCTCCCCTGGCCCCCTGGGGAGGTGGCTACCCCCCTGGCTGAGCTTAAACCTGCTCCCTGCACAGCACCACTGAGCATCAGTTGGGCCACGGTGCCCAGATGGAGTGCCGACCTCCAGCGAGATTTGCTGCTCCGATGGCTCTGGAACCATCCCTGGCCAGTTTCCCAGCCAAGCTCCATCAGGATGCAGCCTTCCACTCCAGGAGCCAAAGTCCCCGAGGTGACTGCATGGAGACTCGGGGATGATTCTCATGCCAAGCAGCAGCTCTATACGCCACTTTTCACAAATGGACTTGTCATTACTATCAACGGTGACATTTTCAGTAATGACCCCGTGAGCTTTTCCCTTCAAATTTTGATTCCTTCATTCCTATTTAAATGCAAAATATTACATTCCTCATTCCTACCTTTATCAGTCTGTATCATGGTTATGTTAATATGTTCTGACTGAAATAAAATTCGAGCAGAACCAACCTCCTCCAAGGACTCTACAATAACAAAGATGCATCTCTAAAGGCCTGAGCCACAGTGATGGTCCTCAGTGCTCCTTCAGGCAAATAAAATGCCTTTTCACTCTTTCTTTTCTATTTTCACTGCCTGACTCTCCTGTGGAAATAACATTTGGAAGCAGACAAACATTGATTGGCATTATTTTCCATCTGGGAAAGCAGCACAGATCCTGCCAGAGATGGAATCCTAGGGGCCGCTGAGCGCTATGTGGTCTAGTAGAACTGGCTTTTCATTATTTCCTAATGAGATGACACCCAGGCACCCAAGGGCCTCTGGAGTTTTTTATAAGGACAGGGCCTCAGGCTGAACCACATCTGGTTGTCAAGAGAATGATAAGCCAAACCTAGTAGGCTAGTGTTTTACACTGCATGTCATAAAACCACCTAAAAATCTTACTCTGGGGGTGATGCATAAATTTCACAATTAACCAGTTAAAGGAAAATCAAAACCATTTATAATGAAACTCAAACCCTCTCCTAGATGGAAAATTAGGATGATAAATCCCAGACTTCCAAAGTTTTGAGGGGCCACAGAGTCTACAAGAGGGTCAAAGATTACCACTGAGAGAGCCAACATTGGTGCCAGGACAAACCAGAGTCCTAGTGGACATTGGTTTCCAGGGTTGGGTGGTGTGAGGGCTGCCGGGTTGCTCCGTGCATCATGGAGGGCAGGGTGGGGGTGATCTGGCACAGAGTGTCCAGGAGGCCAGGGGTACTCTGCCTTTAGGGCCACTTGGCTGAGATTCATCCCTCCTATTTCCTCCCGGGCCTGTGCCTTCAGCTCTTGTGATACTGTCACCTGAAAGAGCTGGTACTTCTCTGCATGCTGAGTACTTGATAGGAAATCTCATTTGCAGGAGGCAAATTCACAGGCGCCATTGCTATTGCCATTTCATAGATAGATAAGGAAACTGAGGTTTAGCTGGTTCAATCCAACGTCTGGCTGAGCCAGCACCTGGACCTCCTCCATCACAGAGGCTGTGTAGGTCAGCTCCTCTCAACAGGCCATACCCTAGAGTCACCTGGCCAGGCTTCAAGCACAGTGCACGGTCCCTCCCTGACCAACTACATCAGTATTAAACCAATGCTTCAGAGACAGGCACTGGAGGCCTGTGGGTCAGAAATGGCTTGCTCAAAGTGGGGCAGTGGATCTGGGCTAGAATCCAGGGTCCTCCTCCTAAGTGCCATTCACCTGCCCATTGACTGCCCTGCCCCTGGTGCCGCTCAAGCCTGCCCCACCCACAGCACTCACCTCATCACGTGAATGCATTCTGGCTCCTTGGTGAAGCTGTAGGCATAGCCGCTGGATGTGGTCCCAAAGTCAATGGCCACCACCACAAGAAACGTCTGCTGTTCCGAGACGTTGGGGTCGGCATCATTCTGTAGATACAAGTGAGGCTCTGTGCCCGGGCCAGGCCTGGCTTTGGGGAGGGCAGTTCCACCCAGCCCAGCTGTGAACTCACTGTGGGCAGAAGGGCTTCCACATTCCTGCTCAAGTCTGCCACGTGGCAGCCCTGGGGACAGGGCAGGCCAGCCTCAGCCCCACTTGAGTGGTTTGGGGAGACAGAGGTGCCCGAGTGGGGACAGGACACCTGGGCAGGGCACTGCTTGCAGCTCATCAACCCTGCATGACTGGGGCTAATTATGGAAGTACTACCATGGAGCAGAAGCCCAGTAGCTCTCTGGTTTGACACGGTCTCCCCCACTGCCCTCCACGTTCCTGTGCAGACCTCCAGTGACCACCCCGAGCACTCTGCCAGCTGTGCCCTTCATGCCTCCCAGTGATCTCTCCATCTGTGCCAGCATTTCATGCAACTGAACAGGCTGGGCACACCCAGGACCCTACCTGATCCTGCAAAATGCCAACCACGTGACCCTGCCATGCCCATGCCTTCATCTGTCAGAGCCTTTCCTCATCTGTCAAGTCATTTGGGCAGATGTTCTTTTTTTTTTTAAAGCAATGTAGACTTTCTTTCTTTTAACTCCCACACAACTCCAAATTATAAAAGCCAGCACATTTCAAAGCTGGTGTGTTGGTTGAAGCAGGAGGTGAGAACAATACCCACCTAACCACTGGCCCCGTCCCCTGCCCCGTCCCCTACCCTCCTCTCCACCAACCTGAAGCTTCTACAAGGAACCCTCAGTGTGCAGAGTTTGGAAACCACAGGACCTGGCCACAGGTGACCAACCTCACCATTGCTAGGACTGAGGGACTTTCCAGGATGCAGGACTTTGTGCAACAGGGGGACAGTTCCAGGAAACCAGGACAGGTTGACACCCACTACCAAGCTCCAAAGCTCTTCTCAGCAGGGTCCTTGTGAGCTGTGCAGCTCATGCAAAGCCACGCTTTCCTCGGGTGCTTGACTGCACTGGCTGCGTGGATGCCCCTCTTTACAGCAGCCCCACAAGGACCACCCTTAAAGTGCAGGGCAGGGTGGGAGCAATGGCTAGTGCGAAACCCTGCTCCCATGTTCTCTCCTGGGCAAACTGTTGCAGAAGCAATACCTCAGCCTCAGGCTTGGCGGGGTTGGGTGGCACAGTGAGAAGCAGGCAGGGAACGGCAGAGGGCAAAGCCACTGCGTTTCACTGATTCGCTTCCTTCCCGGCAGGTGCCTGTGGTGGCTGGAACTGGCCTTTAAAGAGCTGCGCCCAGCCTGCCTGCTGGTGCCACTCCCCCAGGCCCTCAGCTCTGGAAGCATGGGCCACAGGTGGAAAGCCTTTCTAGGCCCCGAGTGGGGAAGGCGCTTGGCAGGGCTCCCATGGCCAGTACCTGGGATTTGATCTCCACCCAGTGAACATGCGGGGCTGCCCAGGGGCCTGAACAGTGAGAGCAGATGCAGAAGGAAAAGGTAGCCAGCTCACACGCACGGGCGCATGCACACATGCACGCACTTCTTACCACGATATGGGAAGGGGACAGAGGCGTTATTCCTGTGTCCCCAAGACTCCGGGCTGGAGATGAATATGCAGAGGTGGGAGCCGTTTCTGAAAGGAAAGATAAAGTCCTCCCTTAGACGTGGCACAGGCTGGCCCGGGGACAGGAGTGAGGCCCGCATGGTTTTGCTCCTCAGGCTCTGGGCTGCTTGAAAGCAGGGCCCGACCCCAGCCAGGAAGGCAGGGGTTCCAAGTCCACACCAGCACCCCTTTGGGTTTGGTATTAGAACTTGACCCAGTGAGATGTCCCTGTCCCTTTTCTCCCAGTGACTACCAGGCTTCTCACTGTGCCACCCAACCCCACCAAGCAGGAGATGCTGTTAAGTCCTCCAAAGGCTGGACACTGCACCTATGAATCCCAGGAGCCACACGGGGCTTGGCATGTCCCCCTCCATTTAATGCATAGCCTGATACCTGATAGGAGGGCTCGAGGTGACTTGGAAAGGCATGGCTGCTTCTGAGGGAGCACAGGAGCGGCTCTATCTGCCCCTTCTGCAGAATCACTTTGCATTCATCTCAGGCTCCTGCAAAATCTCTTTCAATTGGGTTGGAACTCAAACAGCATCATTACAGTGAGTACCCAACAGCCCAGGGACAGAGCAATGGTGAGAGTGAGTGTGAGACTTGGAGTCTGCACAGCTGCCTCCCCTCTCTGCAAGCTCATGATCGCTCTCCTCCCCATGAGGCTCAGCTCCAGCTCTGTGAGAGCCACGAGAGGACAGAGGCTGAAGAGATATTTCTCAGAGAAGACATACAAATGGTCAGGAGGCTTATGAAAACATGCTGAATGTCATTACTCATTGGATAAATAATGCAAATCGAAACCACAATGCGATACCACTCCACACCCGCTAAGTTGACAATTCTTTAAGGACAAGTGTAGGAAAACATGTGAAAAAAAAAAAATGGAACTCTATGCATTGCTAGTGAGAATGTAAAATGGTACAGCGTGGAAAACAGTTTGGTGGTTTCTTAAAAAGTCAAATATAGAAGTACTATAATTCAGTAATCCTACCCCTAGGTATCTCCCCAAAGTAATTGAAAACAGGGACTCAAAGAGGTACTTATGTGTGAATGTTCACTACAGCAATATTTACAATAATCAGAAGACAGAAACAACCCAAGTGTCTATGAAGAGATAAATGGATAAATAAAAGGTGGTATGTGCATACAAAGGAATAGTATTCGGCTATAAAAAAGGAATGACATTCTTATACATGCTATAACATGAATGAACCAGAAAACATGCTAAGTGAAATACGCTGGACACAAAAGGACAAATACTATATAATTTCACTTATGTTTAATATCTGCGATAGACAAATTTGTAAAGACAGAAAGTAGAGTAGAGGTTACCAGAACCGGAGGGAGGAAAAATGGAGAGTTATTGCTTAATGAGCACAAAGGTACTGATTGGGGTGATGAAAAGTTTTAGAAATAAATAGCAGTGAAGGTTGCACAACATTGAGAATATCATTCCTGCCACTGAACTGTACAGTTAAAAATGGTCAAAATGGTAAGTTTTGTTACATATACTTTATCATAGTAAAAAATGTTTTTTTTTTTAAACAAGAAAAACAATTTGCTCCTCTGGGAGGGAAAGCCATTTCCCATTTCTATTAGCTTCCACGGCCCAGGGATCTCAAAAGAGCATGGAGAAGTCAGCTCTTTTCCTCCACCAGCCTGCTAACTCCACCATCTTCGCTGATCTCCCAGCACAAGGGTCCCACCTTCCATAAAAGCTGGGTGAACGCTGCCTCTCCACTTAGGGTCCCAGCTGGGTGATCCTTCCACCTGTTTATGACAGTTCCTTCCTGCCCAAGGCCCCTCAGACAGCCCTTGGAGAGACGCCATCCAGGCCCAGGAGCTGCCCTCTCTCCACCTGCTACCTGGAAGGCCTGCGGCCATGCGTCCACATTTGCACAGAAGGTCTTGGAAGAAACCAAATGTCTAATGGCCCAGAAAATCTGGTGTTGGCAATTAGCAAACAAGCTATTATCCACCGGCAGGCCCTCCACCCTGCTGCAGCTCGGTTCTAATTATCCTGTCACTCAGCCCTTCTCCAAGCTGGTCTGGGTCATCCCACTGACTTGCAAAATAGCGTGGGTCCAGCCACACACTGAACATGTGCCTCAGGCCCCCAGGGGACTCCAGGGGACTTTGAGGGCAAGAATCAAGGATTTTTGTTGTTGCTGCTCTTCTCCCCATATCTCCCTCCCCCACTGCATCTGGGGGAGTACTAAACAAATCATTTGACTTGCTGATTACTCGCCAGGCCTGGAGGCAGCTGAACTTCATGGACTTCTTTCATCAGAAATTAAAATTCATCTACATTATTCAATGATTTAAAACTGATCTGCTGAGAAGGAATGGAGGAGAAAGGTTTTCATAGATACTTGTGTTACTGGGCACATCCACATCTGCACATAGTCCAAGCTAAAGATAATTATCAGTTAATGCCTACCGACCCAGCACAGCAATATACAAAGGCGGCAGAGACACATTTGTTTTCAGCTTATATCTCTACTTTGCCATTTAAAATGTCAAAGTGGTAGAGAAAACTTCAAGGTGAAAATCCAACCTTATCCCCTGAAGAGCAACAGTGGAAAGTTTATTAATCCTGGTGTGCTAATGATCCCAACAAGGCTTGAGATCTTGCATGCCTTAGGACTAAGCCTGAGAAGGTCAGTGGAGTGTGATCTATTCATCTCTGGCTACCTGAGCTAACAGAGGACGGGCATCACACGCCCCCTTCAGTCCTGCACAGCCATTACCCACAGTAAGAAAGTCCAGGTACCATTACTGTGGCCCTGTTCACTCTGCCTCTGTAAAGCTAGTACAATAACATCTGCCCCAGGCTACTTCCACCTATGCAAGTTCCCAGTATACACAGGTCAACTGGGGCACACTAGGAACATACGAGAAGCCAAAAGCTCAACCTGAATACAGGTTTTTATATTGCAGGTTTGCAAGAAAGAAAGGAAGCAGAAGAAAAGAAATTTCAGGCCCCAGCTGCAGAAACAGGGAAGAGAGTCTGCTAAAAGGCAGATGAAAGGAAAATGCTTTATCAGGAAATGTGGTCAAGGGCAGAGCCCAAGGATCCGGGACACTGAAGAATACCTACTCCACCACTCCAGGTAGAGTGCATAAAGACCACCCAGAGCTCCTTCCTTGTCAAGCACTGAGTTACCCCGACATCCACAACACAGAGTGAGTCTATGGTTTCACAGAATTAGAAATATGCTGACGGTTTCAAGAGTGCAAATCATTAGCCACAAAACTAAGTTAAGCAGAAGGGAAGCAACCCCGGAACTTTCTAATAACTAGAAATGAATTGTCAGGTCTCCTTTGCTATTAGATAATTTAATACCACTTCAGTCTCATAGTGTGCAGATGATCTCTTTAAGGTTAACGAATATAAAAATAAGTTGATCAGGGCTGGGGCTGTAGCTCAGTGGTAGAGCACCTGCCTAGCATGCATGAGGCACTGGGTCCAATCCTCAGCACCACATAAAAATAAACAAATAAAATAAAGGGGGCATTCTGTCCATCTACAACTACAAAAAAAATTTTTTTTCAAAAAACAAGTTGATCAAAGTGTTCACAGGTTTGCTCATAAACCTTGAACCCTCCTGTCCTAACACATTCATTTTAAAAATGAATTTTAAAATGTCATTTTTAAACTATGTCATCTTAAAACTAACATTTGCAGCAAAAGAAAAAAGAAAAAAAGAGGATATAAATAAATAAATAAATATTTTGAAGCAATGCACAGGATAAATAAATAAAAGAATCACTCGAACAAGTGTCCTACCACGGGGCTTCTTAGAACCCCAAACCAGGCATTTGAGGGGGACCTAGTTTAACTTGGTAATTGAATCCTCCTCACTTGCTTTAATGGAACAAGAATTAAAACGTAAGCTTCATCTGGGTTCCTGCTATAAAATGCAAGACATGTACTATTCAAACACATTTTTATTTGCTTCCAGCTCTAATGGCTTTAATCAAAGCAGACGTTCTTAAAATAAAAAAATAGCCTTGCTAAGAGAACCTCAAAGACAGCCATAATTCACAAACTCGCTGCTCTCCTCCTCCAGAGACATTAGTCAGCAAATGGCCGTGAGCAGCATTGTAGGCTTTGAGATACACAGATCGATCCTGCTCCATAAATGCAACATTCTTTAAAGATGAAGACAGAACCATTGGGCTGGCTTTATTCTACGGAGCTCCAGACTTATGTGAAAGTGACAGGTGGTCTCAACAATAGCGACAGGCTCGACTCTCCAAAGGGTCTTTCTCGACAGCTTTCAGATTTATGTATCTATCAAATAAATACCCATTTCTAAAGGATTTTTAAGGTCTGGTCCTTATTTTAAAAATTACACACACACATTATTTCCTCATTTTTCTTCCCCTGCAGGCTATAAGAGGACAGGCATTTGCCTCACTGTCTAAAATCAGGCTGATTGAGAAAAAGCCCTCTCTATTTCTCTCCTGATGCACCCTCCTCCCAGTGCCATCTCTGAAAATTGATCAGTTCAAGGTCATGTGTAGGTTACTTGCAAATGTCTTTTAAGAAGGAAAATAAAAAATCTTTTATGACCCTCTAACAGGCGTCATGGCTAGCTGAACTAATGCATTATTACCGTAAGCTGAGCCTCCATTTCAGTAAATAATTTATGGGCTTTATTTTTTTAATCACCATGGTTGATGTCCAGAGTAAATGGAAATTTTATTGGCATGAACAGGAGACCCTCTCACTATGAAGAACACTGAGTGTAAAATAACCACTCTCCAAATGCTAAATAATAATTACGGAAATGAGTACTCATCATGGCAGAAACCACAACACCAGGCTCAGTCTGAATGGGGGCGCTGCATCAGATCCCCGACACCAGGCAGCACCTTCTAGTTACCCTTCCTGCCTCCTGGACAGTCCAGGAGATGAGATGCCCCAGCAGGAGAACAGGGGCAGCTGGGTTTCCCCAGATAGTGAATCCTGAGTCACTGCTATCCCAGATGGTCAATGGGCAGTTAGTTCACTTTCTCTC